GGAGAAATGATTGAAACTAAGGGGAGGTAAATCTATTATTATGCTGAATGGAATGGGCCGTAAATGATAATGTGTTTAGCCAGCCAGGCAAGGGTTGGGGTTAGGGTTAGGTGTAATTTTAAAAGTAATGAAGAATGAATAATTGATGGTTTATGCTTAGACCTACTAAGAGTACTATTCCTCTAAGGTTGGGACAACTAGAACATATGATATAACCTATTCAACAATAAAACTATACGAACAAAATATAGAATATAAAACTGAACACATTGATGTTTATTGAAAAGATCATGCCATTTGGATTGACGGACTTCTATTTTTAATATAACGTCACAATCCCAAGTAAATCAGTGATAATTAATTTGTAATAGTTACTGATTACGGGCTTTGTAGATATAATTACAATTTAAATATTGAATAAAAGATTTATCATTTGACGCTAACAGTGGTGACGTGTTGATTAAATGTAATCAAATGCCTTATAGGTAGTAAACGCGGGGGTTTGTTTACACATAATATGTAAACTTTAGTGTATTAAAAAAGCATATCACAGACATATAGTCCTGAGTGCTAATAAATTTTTTAAGTAGTCCTGTTTGGGCAAAAAACTGCCGAGCCTTGTTATTATAGCATTATGCACACAGATAACTATGTACTTTGAGAATAGATCTCTGCCCTGAATGGCCACCATTTTCTGTATACTATTTTGTAATTTGATTACATCTATAATACACACAACATTTTCGATTTAATTAAAAGGATGCAGAATAAATAATTCGCAAAATTCTACATATACTTATTGTTTTCGACTAAAATCGTCGATTTATGAACAAATATGTCGGCCAAATAGTTTCATGTCTGTTCTTAAGCGGACTAATTGCAGACAGACAGCGTAACTTACGTATTGTTATTATAGATCCGTATCTGAAGCGGAGCTCGCCCACGATGTTGTTACCCTAGACCTTAGACTCACCTAATGACCTTTATTAACATTCCGATCACCATTTTAGTCTTCGCTCTAACGCAAAGGTCAATTAGCAAATCCCGACAAGGCATGTATTATTGTATAACGTGATCTTTTAATTATTTAAAATGCTAGTCATTTGACTTGTACTAACTTAAGTAATTTGCAACACCCCGAAGAATCCGCCTATATTGTAGCTAACGACTGGGTGTTAAGCCATTGTAATGCATTTGTCAACTTGGAGGATTAAACAACACAGTTCTTAGTTTAGGCGCAGTTAAAGCCTTTTTGTTAACTCTTCACCACGCAATGTTGACATGTGTTGTCTGTACTTGAAAGTATTTTTAAGTGTATATTGTAATTTCGAGAAGACAAATTCTGTGAGAAACTGATAAAAAACACATTTCTCAATGGTTATTGTCTTTTACTAGTATTTGATATCAAAATGTGTCAATAAATTATTTCTTAAAAATAAGACGATGAAGTAGATATACAACAGTCACTTGCCTGGGTTTAAGATTTAGTGTTGGTTAACGTATGTAAGAACTGAATCAAACCGAAAGTATTAATATTATATTTCCAACCACACCAATCAAATTAAAACTCAGATTCTATTTTGTTTCGTTATTTTATAATTCAAAATTTCGTTTTACTTGTCTTTACTACACTCTGAAAGGGTTGTTATATAACCCGTGTGCTGGATGATGTGAGGGATTAGCTAATGAAACGGTCTGTTATGGCAAGTTTTTGGCTGGAGTTGCATGGAACTGTGGGTAACCCACTAGAAACATCAACGCTGATTGGTTAATCAAATATCTCACGTCATAAGGTCAAAAGTCGCTCGTATGACCTCTGACGCGACCTTCAACTACGAATGGTCAGATACTCATGTAATAGAGGCCATTAAACGTATAAAAAACAAAACGAAATATAGATCTGTATTTTATGCCATAGATTACTTATTTTCGAACTTCTTGCATTATGTAAGATTTAGATAAAGAGCTGACAGTTCTGGCGATATAAACAATAGATAATGAAAGGTGAATATCTTGAAAATTTCAGACAAATTACTTCATTCTGTGCGACGTTATGGCTGTTTGGAGAATGGCTGAGTCTTGATTATCATTCCTAGCGTAGTTACGATAGTAAACCTAGTCTCTATTATACATTTTTAAAAAAAATCATAAACCGCCAATCGCGTTTAAATCTGTTGAAAATCTCGAGCTTCTGATGACATCGAGAGATGATTATGGTGTTGGCAAGTTCATAAATGTCTAATTAATAATTTATATACCATTTATGACCTAAAGGAAGACCTACAGAGGCCTATTTAGCCCTTGCATAATGCATTTTCAACTTAAAGTCAATAAATGAAAAATGCTAATACACCCTTCATAATTAATATTAATATGATTTCATCAGAACAAACCAAACGAGTATAGAAGGGATTTAAACAATATTATTTTTAAATAACTACATGTTAATTTGTTTTTGTTGTTATTTGTTAATTTTGATATGTTTTACTACTTTAATCACCGTGTTCGCACTACTCTGGCGATCTATGATAAACAGGTCAGGAAATGAACTATGAACAAACGTTGTTTAAGTTAGAAATATAAAAGCATGGGCAGAGTAACAGGAAGTAGAATATGTGGTGGATTTAAACTATACAACTTGAACACCTCTAAGATAAATGTTTTCAATTTTCCTAGGTTAAGGAAACAAATGGGTTGTGAATAGCCATACACCGTTTACACATCTTCAATCCCCGTATTGTTCCAACTTTTAAACACAAACATTCCTCCCCACCTTGACGTTTAGGTTTTCCTGAAGTCTGAAATTCTCCGGCATTCTTGGAAATTCAGTCCACAAAGTTCGTATTGTTTTCAGGGGCATGTTAAAATACTTTCTGGCAAATCGTAGGCATGTCATAAAATATGATTTGAAAACCATCATCTTCTTTTCAAGAATTGCTTTACTTGTTTCTTTATTGTTTTTTTACACGAATAAAAAAAGGGATCGATTGTGACTTTGTTTATGCTACGTGTTAGATCCATCATTTTTGATTCGCCATGCATATTTATTTAAAATTCGATAAAGTTGGCATTTTTTAAAATCTTTATCTCTGAGACCCATCCTTTGAAAAATATACACGATAATAAGCATGTACTAAATGATAAATACAAAAATAGTTATATTTAAATAATATTGTGTTGCAGGGGAACGCCTGGTCATTCATAGAACAGTTGAACAAGCAGCGGAAAGTCGCGACGCCTTGGCGAAAGCCATGTACAGTCGATTGTTTGGTTGGATAGTTCGACAAATAAACAATCGCCTTAAACCTGACAAGGAATTCAGGTAATTTCTACATGATAAACCAGGTTCATTTAAATAAGAAAAACATTTATTTAATACCATTACATTTTGTAATCCTGCAGCATTAAGTGCATATATAACCGATACAATATTATACATGTGAAAATAAATAATATTTTTGTTGTAACAGAAAACAAAAAGTTCCAGATAAATTAGTTTTGTAATGTTTCGTGTGAAGACGTGTTATGAGTATAATTCACAACTGTTAAACTGGAAATATTGAAAGAAACACCAATTTGTTCTTTGTTCTGTGATGTTGATTCTTAAAGCCCAATAAATATTATAAAAAAATATTAATAAAAGATATACTCTGTAAAATTGTTATCATATTTATGCATGTTTTACAGCATGACAAAATAAAGTTTTTACCTATTATGTTTTTTGCAGCAAGCATGCTGGTCCTAGTCTAGGAATTCTAGATATGCCAGGGTTTGAGAATCTGAAAATCAACAGTTTGGAACAGCTTTGTATTAATGTTGCCAATGAACAGATGCAGACTTATTTTAACGAACATGTCTTTGTGTTAGAAAGACAAGAATATGAACAGGAAGGGATTTCCTGGAAAAATGTACCTTTCAGAAATAACCAGGAATTACTAAATCTTTTCATGATGGTATGTTCTCAGCAAATAAATCTATTTCTGAACAAAGTTATATATCTGCTATGAATCCTTGATCAGAACGATATCAAATGAATTATTTCCTCTGTCCGTCCTAGGATCATTAACAATCAATAAATGTTTATTATACAAACAGAGAACTATCTACTTTGGGAAAGGATCTCTGTCCGAATGGCTTCCATATTAAAACAAATAGTACTGTTCTTATCCGTTTCCGTCCTTCATACACACAAAGATAAAATACACATTTTCAATTTCATTAAATGGAATCAGTGGAAAGTATAGTATTAATATTGCTACTGATCATTTTCAGAAACCAATGGGTTTATTTGCCCTAATAGACGAAGAAGCCCGATTTCCAAGAGCAACAGACAGTTCTCTTGTAGAAAAAATCACCAGCAATTGTAAAAATAATAAACTAATAACCAAGTCTAAGAATGGCGACCTTGCCTTCTGCATTCACCATTATGTTGGTACGGTAAGTGTGATTGAAGGATATAGTTGCTTCCTGGTATATTTGAATATGTTTATTTTGACAAGCTATCATTACAAATGATATCGATTCAAGTACAAACCTTATCCATTGTTTTTATCGAATCAGTAGTTTACATTATTAAACAATCAACCACTAGCATATTTATACGGTATTATGTACATAAAACAATTCAACTTATGGCAATGTAATTGAATTATAATAGGAAATAATTTAATTGTTTATGGCAGGAAGCCGTGCGTTATATTTAACCCAGAGAAGAGCGATGGAGATATTATTTATTTTTTACTCATAGTGCAACAATAAGAGTTAATTCTAGATTTACAAAGAAATGAATTCTTAAAGCTAATGATTATAACATGCTTTTTCTATTCCTTTTTGTTTTATTTTTAATAGTGTACTATCAAAAATAAAACGAAAAGTACTAATTAAAATTAGTGTTAAACAAAATTAACCGAAACGAAATTATAAACTAATGTTAATTTGATAGTATGTTATTTTTGGCCATTTAGAAGATTTATATATGTTTCTATAGGTGGAGTACCATGCTTCAGGTTTTCTAGAGAAGAACAGAGATAATTTGAGTATTTGTATAGTGGATTGTATGAAGTCCAGTAGAAGTCAACTAATCAGTGATTTATTTAAAGCCAAACTCTCAAGAACGGGTACTATATCAGGGTAGGTATTAATTCAGGAAAATAAATAAAGATGATACTTTTCAAATATGAAATAGATAAACGTTTATCATTGTTGATATGGGCATTTATGTGGATTTAAGTGTTGAATTGGTTTTATCATATTTTTCTTTTCGATTGTCAATGTGACTAATAATTTTGAATTTTTCTGGATAAATTGTAGCCTGATATAATTTTTTAGGGTGACTTTAAATAACTTACAACATTCAGAAGCAATTAGACTGGTCACCCTTGGTTTCAGATAAAAAAAAAATGGCACACTTTGCATTATGCCATGATCTTCATTTCTAGTATTTTACATTTGTTTAAATCTCGAAATGTGTCATACAAAAATAATACAAGCAAATCATTTGCAGTGTATGTTTATCTAAATCATTTGACTAGTGTTTCCAGTACAAATTGAGACAACTTCCTTTAGTTAACTATTGCGTATTTCAAGCTCAAACATCGTCGCTTTCAAACGCTACGCCTCTGGATAGCCACCAATCAAATAATTGTACATCTGTTTTTGTAGCGTTTAGTGATGACATTTTACTCATATTTGCGTAGTTTAAATCGATACCCAATGATATGTCGACTGACAACAGGGACGAATTTCGATTTTGCGTGGTGTTGATCATGCTAGACATGGTTTAACACCAGACAATAAATAGTTTTAATCTCTAGCAGGTCTTATATAAATTAAATTAACTTGTTGAAAACTTTCTTTTTATACGAAACCCAAATCTGTTCGTGATTTCTCCTCTTGTCGACCATCTTAACACGACGAGTGCGAACCATGCAGGATACAAGAGTGTAAAAGACCAACGTCATGGGTCCATCTGGGGAATAAAGGAAAGAAAAGCGGAGTTTATTTACATTTTCCAGGCCATGTCAACAATTATTTCAATGATTCTATCACGATTTTCTACTTTACTTAATTTTCACTCCCTCAACAAGTTTGTTTACGAACTTGTTAATTATACTTAGCAATGGTACATTTCAAAATCAAAGTCTTTTCTTCCATTTTCTTTTTGTTACTTTGTTCAATTATAGTAAGCAGTGTTGACAGTCTGTAGATTGTGTTTGTTTTGCGCAGCTTATTTATATAAAACCGGTAATAAAAGTAAACCCCGGTCTCTTATGGTATAAGTAAAAAATAGTACTCTATGAACATTGGTCAAGGACGATGAGTAAATAACTCTATAACTACGTATATAAGTAAATAATGAAACATGTTCTTTTATATTTAATTACAATTTATTTAATAAAAAAGAACCATGTAATACAAGTATTCTTACGACTACACTTAATGCCATTACATCATCATTAAGGATGGGTTCAACCCTTCAACAACGTATTTAAGGATGTCTGCATGGTGATGCGCATGACCTCGCTTTTTTTAATATCGTTAATTCACAATATAGCATGTTCTATTCGAGGCCTTTGCCTGCAAACAAGACAAAATTACAACGAAAAGAGGGTGTATTATACGTATGGTGGTGTGTTGGAAAACGTATTAACATTTTAAAAAGAGACCATGACAGCATACTCCCCACCCTCGCTGGATTCCCCTCATCAGTGGAAACATGTCGAAACATATAACCCATTCATGTGAAAAGATATTGAAGATTTCTTTTTTTTTAAAAAAATGGATCACGATCGAACTTGACAGTATACTCCCGTACGCTCTATTTACTCCCCTTGTCTAGAGTAACGACATGTTAAGGTACATAAAGCAGAAGCTAAATTTAGTTCGGAAAACGGAACGAAAAAAGTGGGCAATATCATGCTGTTATTCGAAAGCCTCCCACAAGTTTTCAAATAAACGTTTCAAAACCCCACTTAGTATGCTACCAAATTGCCAGCTGTTTATATTTAACGACGTTATCGAGGGCTACTATCTAAAACGTATTTTATATTACGAAACTTAAACTATCAGACGTATTAAATTAAATATGCATATTAGGCAATTATTACGACTATAAAGATTAACGACAGCAAGGTGTTCCGATGCTACCAGAACGACTAAAAATATATACTTGGTATCGTTGTAGCTTTAAAACATGAACACGAGAATCAATCTTATTTGCATTATTTTCTAAAATAAATGTAACCTGACCTAAACTTGACAATGTCACTGAGAATAGAAGGTTTTATACCAATAATGACAGTTTCGATTTAAACCGTATTCAATGACAATGGGAGAGAATTTAAATTACTTCTAAAAATATTTACAAGAAGGTTTCTTCTGAAAAGTCATGTGATCGGGAAGGTCTGATTTGTACACATATATTGGTAAGTGCAAGAGGACCACACTACACGAAAACAAAACCCACAACACAAACCTGTGAACAAAACCCACAAACTACACGGGTATTGCAAGCAATGAAATGAAATGAAAGGGGCTTTAAAGTCTTACTATTCTGCTCCGACTGAGCTAATGAAAATTGTGCACGGACAGCGGCGCTACGGCCTACTCTTATATTGAAATTTCAGCTGCCAAGGTATCTTTTACGTGCACCCTAATTTTTGCACAGGACCTCGGTTTTTTGTACCGGGAGTGAACCCACGACCTCCAGACAAGCGAGCCAGCGTTTTACTCACTTAGCCACCATGGCTGCATCAGGCAATCAAATCATGTGAATGGATCCCAGGCCAGCACGTTCCTGGGTAGTAATGGTGCAGACTTCGGTCAAAATGAAATAAAATAAAAAACTAAAACAAGAGAAAAGGGTGAACAATGAATATAAGACTACTAGAAATGCATCGATTCTTGGCGGCGATAGCTTGTCAAATGGCATCAGAAGTTAGAACGTCAAGAAATTACCAATAAGGGTGATAATCCGGATAGAATTTCAGAAAACTAAAAAATGTTTAAAATTAACAATCGAGGTAAAAAATACATGAGTAAACGTTGTATTGAATTTCGGAAAACTCGAAAATATTTGAAATTAACAATCGAGGTAAAAGTATTTGACTGAACGTTGTATTTAACTACTGTATATTTCAAATTATGAGAGCTGCCGATTGTTTCAGGTATCTTGATGAATAATAAATTATCCTTGAGGTAAAAAAATACACGAGTAAACGTTGTATATTAACTATATTTCAAATTATGAGAGGTGCCGATTGTTTCAGGTATCCTGGTGAATAATAAATTATCCTCGAGCCTCTAAAGAATCTTTATTCCAGCTTCCAATATGAAAATATTCCAATAACTTTCTAAATGCTATTGCTTTTGAAATAAATAGTATTCGGTTAGATATTTGCAAAGGTGCAGTATATTTAGATGCAACGAGTACAATTTTCTATCCGCCAAAAGCGTCTTGTTTAGAATTTCATTTGTAAATATTGAATTGTACTTTTTAAAGGTGTAGTGGACACACCTTAAATCTTTTGAAACTTGTTAGTCCAAATAACTGGCATATTATAAAATACCGAACAAAACTGTAAAAAAAAATATCAACAATATGGATGTTGCATAGAATTACAAAAAAATGGGTTCGTTTGGATATAGGCTAGCGAGGGGTTAGGGTTAATCTGCAGGTTTATCAATAGCAATGGCCTGCTGATATTGACCTTAAACCTGAAAGTTTCAATTTAATTAAAGTAGCTATGTCTCTAACTCAAAATCACCCAACATTGAAAACACGAAATATTTGTCAATTTAAATTAAACATACATTATGCAAGAGCTAAATCTGTCTATTGCAGGTCTTTCTTTAGGCCTGAAATGTTATCTAAATTATTAATTAGACATTAATTAACTTATCCAGACCATAATCAACTCTCGATGTCAACACTAGCCTGCGATATTATTGGATTATAATCCGATTTGCTGCTCAACTTTCATTTCTGATTTAATCATGAAATGGATAATCGAGACTATGTTTTTTTGTCGTACCGAATTAAGTAATGATGATCGAGGCTAGGCCGAAATTTCAATCGCCTAATTCTCGGTTCATAGTGGATCAATTTGACTGAAATTTTCAGCAAATTGCCTTTACATTATCTAGTTTTTAACTATCATAGTGAAAACTGTCAGCTCTTTATCTAATCTCCCATAATGTATCTTTAACATTGACGTTCTGATCTTACCGGGAAAAGATGGGTTTCTGATGTGCAATGTTTAAGACAAAGTAAACAATTTACCATTGGTACACGAATCGTGTACCATAATGCATTTTATCGCTATTGTAACAAGGGATTCAAAGAACGCGGCTAGACATAGTCCCAAACGGTGACACCATATTATTATCTGGAGAGCATGCGCAATAAATATTATCAATGTAGACCGGAATAACCAGACGCTAGATACTGCTATTCGATTAAGACTTCTGGCGTTTTTCGCCGAACATAACTGATTAGAAATAACAGTAAAAACAGAAACGATTGAATGTAAATCAGTTTATATACATTCATAGTACATTATTATATGCGTTGCGACCCATTTAAGTCAATTTCTAGATCCCAAATATTAGCGATTTATCTCCTTTAAATCTGATGCTCTGATATTTGGGTATCGGTCTGCATTTAAAATTGTATATCCTCAGAGAGAGCCAATTTTGATGCGTAAGGATTTTGTGTTCAGCCGAAACTAAAATAAGTAGACCCCCCACTCCAGTTTTATAATTTCTAGGTATTGTTCTATTACTGATCAGTGTAACACATATCAACAGCACCATCCAATATTTTCTTTTAAGCAGTATTTTAAAGAAATGCCTAGCTATAGTCTCAATGTCAAATTTGTCAGTTACTAAGTTAATTATAATGTCTGGATTAAACTGAACCAGTAAATAATGTTATGTTTAAGTTAAACTGATCGTAACGAATGGACACCACTTTAAATGTGTAGTTGATTGTATATTCCGTATAAAATCCTGCGATTAGATGCTAACAATGGAGTTTATGTACCATGGGTGGATGCAGTTGACGACCAGTCGAGCAATTGATAAAACCTGGTTACTTTTATATCAATACTAGTTGTTATAATTGTTGAGAAACTAAATATATATCTTGACTGTGACCTATTTATCATGTTGGGCTAAGTACACAGATAGGGGGACAATTTACTTCAGGTGAAGATCAAATTAAATAGAGCGAACCAGTTGTGGATTACCAGTACACAGTAGTTTCCGTATCATTAAGAAATGACCTGACTCATCAAATTGTAGCTCCCAAGTGTGTAACTTGGTCAAGTCATTACCCGCCTTCATTAGCACGGTTGGTGCAGAAAAGTAGGACGTTAACCCCATTTCATTTCCGAGACATTACTACAATTTTTTAGTTCTGTACAAAATAGTCTGCAAAATGTCTCTAATGGTTTCTGTAAACGAAAAAATGAATGCAAACGATTTATACTTTTGGGTTTGATAGAATTCAATTTTGGAACTTTCAATCGAGCATCACCAAAGTTTGCGATCAATGGGACCGACTGGACTTCTTACCAAAAGATGACTAATCCTAAGATAAAAGATTTTAGTCGCTAGCGTCATCTAGACTTCAAATAGAACTCACTGGGTGGGGATGGTGGGGATGATGTTGTGATCCATTTTTGCCAGTAGTAGACTAATTTTAACTAATAAATGAAATAAAAAACCAAGATTATATTAACCGTTTTCTGATAAAAGTAGGGTATACCGACGACTTATTTCCCTTTTTATGATGGTTTTCAGGTATATTATGTAAATTTACACTTACGTCAATTACATACCTGATTATTATTCCTTTAATGTATACTATATATATTTAGGACGCACACAACTAATTCTGTACAATTGTTATACCCGAAATACACCTTGAAAAAAATTCTCAATTACCTATTCACCGTAGTGTTTACGTTATTTAAACAAATTGTCTATTTACACAATTCGTTTGCTATTATGATATATTTTTTAAATTTTTTAAAAGATAGTTAAGTTGAATGAGAAAGTGGGGTGGGGATTATGCATCTTGTCTATGTTGCCAGAAGCAATTTGAACTAATAAATGAAATAGTACGCGTAGTTTCCACCTGGGACTGTAGAGTATATAAAAGTATACACTACCTATGCCGGACTAACAAAAAGATGTTAAATAGTGGACTAATTAACTAGTTTAAATATTATCTTATCGAGGTGTGTGGATACACAGTATACCTTCATTTTTTCAGGTCGTTTGCTACGAAACCACGGGTTAAAACACAAGGTGTAAATAACACGGATACCGCGACGACAGAGAGGTATGTATTGTCCGTCTGTTTTACACTTATTCTAACATATCTTTCATTGTTTTTACATAATGGTCATTGTTATATAATATCTAAATATGTGAATTTTAGGGATTTCATTGATGGAATTCAAGAAGAAAATGATTTATGTTTTCGAAGTTGTTTCGCAGAAAAAATGTGGGCGTATTGTTAATTTTGTAAATAATTGTCAAGTTCAAGTTTACATTGTGTGTTCAATTTAACCAAATCCTGGATGTTCTGAATTAGAAAATTGCTGCACTTTTACCAATGGGTTTATAAAACATTTATTATTAAAGAGTAGTATATGGGTGGAAAGTTTTAATTTTTGTAAATGCGTGTCATCTTACACATTCTGATAAAAATGGACACATTACAATGCATAGGATATCATAATAGCAAATTTTCAACCGACAACGTAATAATACGTTCATACTAAAATTGATTTCCCTGCGTTTTTCTTCGTATTTTGTCGGAACCCTGTAGCTGAATTAATTCTGAACTGGAATATTAATCTACTCTGATCACTATGACCACGTTATTTCTGGTCTTATTAAATTAAGACTAAGTCCAAGTAACTTCTATGTGATTTATTAAACATAGATAATTCAACGAAATTTTACAAGAAAGAGAGAGTTCTGATACGTTCTAAACAGTAGCCCACTCTATGTTTGAAATACAATTCTACAAAATATATAATAGACAATTATGAAACGTTGACAATTAAACTATAAAATATTGCTTCTAAGTTGAAATCTAAAACAATTATAGTTCGTTTTATAGAGAGTTTGGTTAATGACCAATACTTAATCCTTCCATTGTTTAGACTTTAATGCTTCGTCTAAATTATATCTGATGTAATAACCAGTGGCTGGTTTAAGAAGGTTCTATAATCTGAGGGTCAGCTGATATTTGATTGTAAAGAGTTTGACTATGTGTTTTTATAAGGACTATATATATATATTGGTTATAGACCTATGTCTTATGGCTTACAGTCAAGCTCATACAACCAAATATCAACTGTCCCCTGGGTTATAGAACCTTTTTAAACCAGCCACTGGCTACTACGTCAGATATAATTTAGACGAAGCATTAAAGTCTAAACAATGGAGGGATTAAGTATTTCATTTAAATAAATTGATATAAAATATGGAAGAAGTTACGTATTATTTTAAGTGTTCAATTGGTTCAAATGGTTGAGGATAAACCTTAACAGGAAAACCAAACAATACCTCATCATGTCATCTAAACGAGAATTCTAGGAACATATATACATTAGGTATTGAGATTTCAAGGGTCCACTTGCTATACACGTCCTTTCAAATTGTAAGATTGTCTGATTGTTTTGTTTTGCTATACAACGCCCGTAATGCAAGCATACATATAGCCTCTTAAAAAGTCATGCTCAAATAAATTACACTTCATGTCGTATTCTTCTCTTAGTCCAGACTTTTTTTTCTATTGGATAATCATATGCCAGAGGGATTAAACACAGATATGATGGTATGTTCCTATTGTTGCTGTTACCAGATCTTTCCTACGCAAAATATGTGCCTTTAATGTGCGCCGAATCGGTGACCCTCCGCATTTTGAACGGATTAGCTACACGTCACATCAAGAATTTTTGTTGACTTACATTTCTAATTATTTGAGTTTGATTGTTTTATTGGACTTACTATGAAAGGTAAATATGTGATTAGGATAATTTTAAAGGTAGGCAACTGCATCAATTTAACATTTCGCAAATCTAAGTAGTATGATAAATAAATCTAAGTAAAAGTAGTCGAAACACATATGTTATAGAATTATGTACCGATGCAACGATATATTAAACACATTTCAAAAATTTTACCTCAATTCTTTTGTTATTTTGTCCTCTCTTTTTTTTAAAAAAAAATCACTCTTTTACTGCTTTATATTTTTTCCCCAAAAAATGTTCAGCTTCGACAATTCATTTTCAAATGAGATTAGCATTGTCTCCTTCAATAAAATACTTAGCCGTGAACGTGTATCCATCGCTTATCTGAATTGATGAATTGCGGATATTGACCTAGAATGACACGGTGTTTTATTGGCAAAAGTATAGTATGTGTTGATAACAACATCTTTATTAAAAAAACTGATCTTCCTAATACATATTTCCCTGATTTTGTCCAAATAGAAAAAAAATAGATAATAAAACATGCATCAATTTACTGTTTAAAAAAACCCTGCCGTTTGTAGACGTTTTACTGTGATTACCTTGGGAGTTGAATGGCCGTGTCATCGGGTTCTATATAATGAAATGTCTGGTATTCAGTCGCACAGTTATTTAGACATTTAAAAATCTCTAATGGGATAGGTTTATGTGATTTATGACGTTGTAAGCACCAATATTAATAAAAAAAATTCTACCATTACTTAATATATTATGTTGACTAAAGTTGGGAGAATTGCGATATTACTTATTGTATTATGTTGACTAAAGTTAAGAGAATTACGATATTTGCCAGTACCATGCCTTATGTCAACTTATAAGTGTGAATGAACATGAGTTTCAATTTTAATGTATGTTGTCTAAAATACGTTTGTCAATAATGGTTTATATGACTTGTCACGGTCACAGTGTCTGTTTGGATTACGTTTATTGACTTTGATAAAAAAAAATACAAGTCAACGCAAATCCCAATTGGAGTTGTTGAAATCTACTGTAGGTGTCGAATATTACTTGATGCATGGATACCTAATGGTGGATAAACGTATTTAATATGTATAGCATCATGGTCATATATAATACGTATATGGTCATTAGTCAAAATTTTATGAGAGGATTTGTGGCGACTGTGTGACTTACGAGTAAAGTGTGCGGTATGGAAGACTAACGTTGCCATTATTATTTCAATGTTCACGGTCCAAAATGGATGTCAGCAGTTCAAAATACTAAAACTAATTGTAAAACTAAAATAAGTATTTTGAACTGCTGAAATATCCATTTTGGAAAGCGAACATTGAAATAATAATGGCAACATTATTCTTCCATAGTTCATAGCCATTTGAATTTGACAAGACAAAGTAAGCGTGTAAGGAAAAGAATACATCGACAGTTGCAAATCGAAGAATAGTATGGCGGATAAACTCAGTTGCTCGGGTACAGTTCTCCATTTGCGCATTTCACACGTAACAACAAAAATAAAATAATATGATTGTCTCAAAATAACACAACTATTGTAATGACACGACATTAAACCCCATTTTCTTTCATTCTATTCCATGCTACCATCAAGAAAGAAAATCATATTTTTATACGCCCATAATTTCATGTGGATGTATAGTGTTCTCGCCCCTGTTCTTCCTCCAGACCTCCGTTCAAATTTGTTTGTGGAAACTCTACAGGTCACAATTTTTATCCGATTTTGATGAAACTTAAAATATTTGTTTATATCCCAAAGATTTCGGTTTCTTTCGATATTAGCGCATATCGGAGCGCAGTATCCTGGATTATGGCCCCTGATTTTCTTCGCCTTTTCTCTGTCCATTACATGCACAATGTGGGCGTATCTTGTAGAGCAACCGCTTGTTTTAAAGCATGGAAGACCTCTAAAATATTTTTCTATATTCAGGGTTAACACAGAAATATGTTATCCGAAAATTCCTCATTTTTAAGGATGTGTTAATATTGTATTGTATAATCTTCTACCTTACTTACTATAGCCTTGGTTAGAGTAGGAATATATTATTTCCTAGAATTTCTAATATTCCAGTGGCACAGTACCATAATAGTACAACACAAATTTGTTAACGATGTGAACCGATAGGCTTTTATAAGCCGGAATTACTTGGTAGAGAATAACTTCGTGGCCAATGCTTCATTATTTTCCTTAAAGGAACGCTTTATTCTTTAATATCAGACTTTTGAAGTTTTATGACATTTGATTATGTTTCAGATATGACAGATCACTTAAAAGCCAGACAACTGTAGCTCAGTATTTTAAGGTAGGTTTTGAGAAACATTTTACAAAATATTTTTATTGTTATAATCCATTAACTTTAATGTTATAATCCATTATTCTGAATGTTAAAATCCAGTATTTTTAATGTTAAAATCCAGTATGTTTAATGTTAAAATCCATTATTTTTAATGTTGATCTATTATGTTTATTGGAAAGTAAAGTTGAAGTGCTTATTTATTAAAAACATTTATCCAGTAAAACATTATATAAGCATATGTCCCGGTCTTGTGGGCTTTGCTTTGATCAGTTCTGTGTGGTAATGTCATTTTGAACCCATGTAACAAAAGCTCCTTGAGAACGCCTCCAGTATTTCTTTTTAGAAGTGATACAGGTGTTGATAACTGGAAAATCTAAACTAAGACCGCCTATAGTGACATCAACTAGACAGCTAAACGTTATTTGGATTTCAGAATTAAAGAGCAGTTTTTATTGCATATGGCTATATTTCAATTTATACAGAAGCGAAACGGATGATGGTATGATATTCCAAAAATTCAGGTGGATGTTTACTGAGGGATTATTTTATGAGACGCGTTCAAAGCAAGATTTTGCATTTCTTTATTCAAATCATGATTATTTTATTGTATGTCACCCTGTTCTTCATAATCTTCTAAGTCACATTCCGCTCATAGACTGAGTACTAATTAGGTGGTATCAAAGACGCGACCGTTGTGTTGAAATTTTGGCGCGTTTCTGAAGCAAATCAAATAAACTAAGCCCAGTTGTCGTTAAATCAAAAGAACATTTCTTCATAGTAGACTTTATTTGGCAACTTTTCTACTTTCTTACATTTTATATTTTTTAACAAAAGATCTTTTCACCAGTTCTAGAGAATTTCGTTTGTTTTACTCTTACACTTTAAGACGGACATCATTGTTTAAATAACGCCCATTCCATACACAGCGTTTTCACAGGTTTGAAAATAAAGAAACTATTTAAGACTTATCGGGTCGTTACATTTTAGCCAGCGATCTTACACCTCCGACCGTTCCGTCCAACGACTGACATCGACATGGATACAATTTTTGTTGTGTGATCAATAAACACGGAGGGGTGTTGAGTGGAATGGTACTATATTTATCAATAAAGCAGGAAATCTACCCCCTGTATGCTCACAGTAAAACATGGTACCTATGACTTTCTAGGAATTTTATGTTAACTGTCAAGTGACGGTCTCTTTTAGTTCCGTATGGCTAAATCTGATTGGAAGTTATTTCAACCCCCTGTTCATCCGGACAGTAAATTTGACGACCTCTCTTCTGCCTTAACTAATGGGACAGAGTTCATCTGGACCCAAATTTTCCACACAATACCCATAACGGACTGATCTGTGGGAATTCAAGGGGTGGTTTTGTTGTGTTTAGTAAATTAAACCATTTGGTAATGTTTTAGGTGAAGTGTTGTATATCATCTTTAGAGAAATTGGTTATGCGTATAACTTGGCAAAATTATTAAATTTTGGGTCCAGCTAGTTAATAGTATTAGGTATGGATTCGTCAAATGTAGCACGAGTTATCCATGGACCAATGGCATATATTACAGATATAAATATTTGCCTGTATTTTCCATCCCTGAGTAGGGTAAATGCAATTTCCAAATGGAAACGATTATATAAGATCATATTTCTGCTACACTTGTTTCATGTAAAGAAAGGGTTACTTGAAGAATCAAACCGAAAAAGTTCTACTAAAATCTTGTAGCAGTATAGTTTAACAGTATACAAAGAAAAGTTTGTTGAACACCTTGAGTCAATATTTTATTACAAGTATTTCACCTGTCACATAGCCCTTCATACGGTTCAATATTGACATCTAACGAGCCGCTATTAACTTAATCTGACCCTTGTTCGTTAACCCCTCTCGATGTTTAATCAAATATCACCATTTATATTATTTGTGGTCAATTGTTTTATCTCGGTACACCGGTTACTGTAATCTCTCGCTGAGGAAAAATTTCGACAATCAACGTTATCTATTACAAATTAAAAACATTACAAAATATGTCGAACACCGAGTCTACAACAATAATTTTCTTCTGTAACTAAGCAGATTTCGTTACATTTTACCATGATAGTGTCTAAAGGTATATTTTCTCTTGAAGAAAATATTTCAAGTAAGAATAAGACTTTATAAATAACTTGTTCAATTGTCTGATGTAAGAGTGCGACATCCTTTTAGTTCGCCCGTCTTCATTAGCCCAATCGGTGCAGAAAAGTAGGATATTAAACCGAAATTCATCTCATCTCGTTTGTCTAATAGCGGACAAAATCTACATAACCAAAAAAAAAAAAAAATGAAACCGAATGGAATCATAATTTTCATATTAATGAATGACCAGCGCTTATATTCTTTTGTAACTTCGTATTGTTGATGGGTTTTGCGTACTCATTATACATACTCGTTCTTCTGCACAGAAATAGAATATGTTTTAAATGGGCTGTTTGTAACACCCTAAAGAAAGTGTCAAGGTTCAGTCAACTCCGCACCGCCATTGCTTTACTCGATCAAATAAAACAAAACCCCAACATAGAATAAATATATGTTTGGTAAATTCACCGTTTCGATTTTCTGTAAATAGAGGACGTTGATCAAATGTTCATACAATTAACGTAAAGATACATTTACTGGCATTTGTAGATGTATGGCAACAGTTGACGAGGTGGACAGGTGGGGGCGTGGGGGGGGGGGAGGGGGGTACCAGGTGAAGATTGACGAACGCTTTAACAATTAGACTACCGATAAGGTTGGCGCAATATTATTTTCAATTGGTAGTCAATGTGCTATATTATTATTATATAGTATTGAATCTAGTCAAATTTAGAATTTGCACATTTTTTTATTCCCCAACCACTGGCCGTGTCTGTCTGATTAGTCCCGAAATAATCCATTTTTCCATGGTATAAAAGAGATATAATTATCGACCCATAAGAGTCGCGAGAAGATGAAGCTATAATATAACATATTTGTGGATTAAACTACGCCAAACTGTGAGATATTTATAGTAAAAATAACCACACCTGACCAAAAAGTGCAATCATATTTTCATTTACATTAAGACAACTGAGAGTGGCAGAGCCAGTTCGTTGAATGCGTTTTATCGTTGAATTCGGGTTTACAAGATACATTCCTTATTAAAATTCTAGTAAAAACCATTAAATCATTAAATGTTAATAAGTTTCATATCACGGATACTGAAATGAACTTTTGCTGGTGGTTTTCCTGTCATCTTGGTAAATTCTACGTTGACATCTAATCGAATTCTGTGCATTCTCTAACCTTTAAAATTTCCTTTCCCACGAGAAGACGGTTGTAATTTGGAGGAAACCGCAGTAAAATATACAGAATGGGGTACATCTGTAAATAAATTTTATAAGTAGAAATGTCAAAACTAAAGCTTACAGAAATGTGCAACCTCGACAAGTATACAAAATATTATCGGCTTTCACTGCAACTTTTGACTTGAGGTTATGTCATGTTTGGCTGACAAATTCAAGAACTTGCAGATAAATAAATACCTCTAGTGCATAAAAAATGTTAGCGTATTTTATACGGGAAAATAAAGATTCCCATTGAATCAAAGTCCCTTTTCACAAAAAAACAACAAAAAGAGATACGTACATCCATGTTTTTACTCCCCAATCATCAAATGTCCTTACTGTCTTATATAACAATGGGTTGCCAGGCAACGAACATTGCGCTATCTGACATTATTTTGGAGGATGGATTTCAATTTTTCGACGTCAAGGGCAATCAGCACGCATAAAATGGATGGCGACTCTTTACAATTAGTCGATCGCATTCAAGGTTCGCTGTCTTGGGACACTAATTACGAAGAAGGAACAAAAATCTCAATTACTTTGACCTGTAAAACGTTTACAAGGCTGTCACTGTAAGAAACATTGTTGCGAGACTCTGAATTTCGATGTACACTTAGTTCCCCGTAATGATTACTTGACGCAATCAAAGCAAGGCTAGAAATAAAAACAAAAAAAAACATGTGGAGTGTTTACAAGACTTCGCTGACAGTAATTCTAACACAAATCGTTGCGTGACAGTGAATTTCGATATTGCATATTAATTCTCCTTTAGGACAAGCCAAACAGCATATTTGAAAAAAAAACAACAAAAGTAGAATTGTGGATGGACCATCGGATAGACCGAAAGGGGTGACAGAAATATAATTCCGCATGAAGTGTGGGCTATACAAAGTACAATTAAATATGTAAGCTGTGTTAATCCCTCAAATGAAAAGGGTTATTTGGGTCAAAGTGTTGATGAATACGTGTAAAGTATTCAGCTTAGTCTGTTCACATAGGGGGGGTTGGATGGCTGAATGGTTAGCGTGCGCGCGCTGTATCATAAAGTCTGTCATTGAGTCGACTGGCGTGGTTTCGAATCCCCGGTTGTACGTGACAAGGAGTAGGGTCGCCTGTCTAACCTCGTGGGTTTTCTCCGGGTCCTCCGGTTTCCTCCCACTGCTAAAGACCCCTATGCGCAAGCGAATTATTGAAATAAAATTAAACCATATGTTAGTCACGAAATGACCTAGTTTGAGTCGAGTGGACTTTAAACCCCATTTCTCTCTCTCTTTCTCTGTTCACATAGAACAATTTTTAATTTGTTAAGAAGACTAAACAACCAATCTGATTAAAATACAGATCTATATTTCGTTTCGTTTTTTATACTTTCGATGGCCTACACTACATGAAGATCTGACCGGTTGTAGTAAAAGGTCGCGTCAGAGGTCGTACGAATGGCCTTTGATCTTATGACGTCAGACATTGATTAATCAAACAGCGTCGCCATAACAGATGGTAGACAAATAAAACAAAATTTGGAACTATAAAAAGCGAAACGAAATAGGATCTGGTTTTTAATCAGATTGCTAAACAACAGATCGTTGATTAAAGCGGAAAGAAATAGTAACGTTTCTTTTATTTTTCTCATGCTAATCTGGCATCACCAAAATAGTCCATCCGTTAACTATAGTCAAACAATAACCAGTCACACTATCATCCAAAACATAGAACTGGGATAAGAAATTAATTTACATGATGTTAAATCTCTCAAAATCGCGTTAAATAGTCGCCAACGCAAATTGACATTGACATTTTGACATCGACTCATCAGAACAGCGACAGAACAATTAAACATTGAAACATTCCTGTTTTTTAAAATTCCACATAAATTGAATTTTAAAGGTCAGTGAAATTTATTTAAAAGAGGTTTGCTCAATTTAAAACAAATTGATATGCTGTCACCTTGGAGATATCGTACAGTTCATATATTTGCTAATCCTCGCCGCGGCTTTGTTCTGCTTTTTAAGAAAGCTATATCAACTCCCATCTTTTGCAAAGTTTATTGGAATTTCCAAGACAAATTGTTTAATTGGTGAAGGGTTTGAGATATATTAAAACCATCTTTACTCAGGGAGTTGATTTTTTTATTATGCAATTGCATTGTATACTCGTATATGACTTGGACTGGATTTCGTTGCTATTGTCGATCCTTTTTCGCGGTATGGTGTTATGCACAATTACCATTTTTACAATAAAATAGACGAATGTAAACGTTGCTTACATAAATCTTTTTATGGTTGCCGCTTGCACCTGAAGTAGGCCTATGTCAGCACTGGTGCTTGAGAGGTTTACAACAAATAAAAGGTTTTGATATAGTTGCAATGCGTAATGACTAATAAGGATATCGCATGTACACTACAACTTGTCAGACAAAAATGAACCTAACATGCAACAATTCACCTACATGCATACCCACTCTTTGTAAACGTTGTTGTATTCAAATACCTGTTTTTGGAGTATATTTACGAAGTAAATTAAGCAGACATATATTGACTCTGTGACGTCACGGCACGTGGTTATGCCATAATTGACAAAGGTGACATTTCTAAGCGGAGATAATCCAATCCCTATAGTGATAGATTACTGAAATTGTTGCAGTGATGTATCATTAAGTAGAGGAACCCGATCTCACCTATATGTCATGGCTCGAGACGATTCGGTACCTGCAACTTTAGTAGATCTAAGCCGCTTGGTAAGACTTTGTTAGACAACTTTGGATTAAATAGTTATTCTTTAGTCTAGATTTAATCAAGAAAACGATGAATGCATTTAAAATACCTTTTTTTTAGTTTTAAGAGCTCTAAGAGCTGTTAGCTCATCATGAATCTGGTTAAAGCTTCGGAAACTTGTTTGGTTATATTCTTTCATTTTTCATTACATTTTAAAGAAAAAATAACTAAAAAGAGATCTGTTTTAGCTTTAAAAAACGTGGGAAGCTGTTAAATCATTTCGAATCTGAGTAAAGCTTCAAAAATCTTTTTTAGTGCGATTCTTTCATTTTTAGAATCTTTTCATTTTAAAGGGGGGAAAATGTTAATAGTTTAAGATATTTCTTTTAAGTTTAAAAAGTCATGAGTGGCTGTTTAATTGTCTTTAATCGCATTAAAGCTCCAGAAACTTGTTTAGTCCAACTCTTTCATTTTTTTTTAAAGTGATGTGCTTTAACACTATTATGGATTTCTAGTGATGGATTATGGAAAAGAAACCGGTATTGCGATCAATTGTATCTTTAAAAATACTTTGGGTACAACGTTCTAATGTTTTGGTGCATACATGTTTCACTGTGTTTATTTGTGTTTACATGTCAGTGTTTATATGTTATATTGTTGATTTCACAATCAGTCTACATGTTGTCAATAATCTATATCTTGGCCAGCACTGCGCGATTTTATTTGTTTTTGTTATCCCTTAAGTAAGATCCTCGTATATGATCCAAATTACATATATATGTGCATTTTGTACAAAGGCAAGATTTAGGAACTATTTACTGATGTTTGTCAGCAAGCAATCTCGCACGCATGCGTATTTAATCGGATGTTTTCCGTATTTTTACAGCATTTGAAAAATTGAAGTAAAAGGATTACCAGATATGAAATTTTGGCCCTGCAAAGTCAAATTTTAAATATCACATTCCTGAAAGAGAAAAGTTAAAATTTCTATTGCGTGTTAAGTATTTTCAATTTCAGTTTAAGGAAACAGATCATACTGTGATATTCTCTACCTCTCCTCAGATATCATTTCTGTAAATGTATTTTTATATCAATAAAGATTTTCGCATGGACCTGGAAAAATTTGAAAAAATAATGCTCCACAATCAGAGACAAATATGTTAGAAATAACTGGATATGTATCACTCAAATAAATTTGAGATAACTGGATAGATATCAGTTGCTTAAAGGGACAATAACACTCTTGCTGGCTTGACAGCTCCAGAAAATAAAAAAATAGCCTTATTCTAAGTACTAGATGTGTTAGTGTCTTACCTGTTGTGTAAATTATCCATTAAATCCTATATTACTTGTCAAGAGGGTTCAAAAATATTTTTAAGTCACATTTGAAAAGCTTTACGTCAGGCTTTTCAAATCATCTAGTTGAATTTTTCCAACTTTTTAAATTAGGTGTGTTAAGATGAAATTTGTATCATCAATTAATTGGAATATTGTTAAATTTTTGGGACATATTATTCATTTACAACAAGAGTGGTATTGAGCCTTTAAGAGAGCGTTATAAAGTAAAATATTTCTTTAGATTTTTGAATAAAAACTATCCAATTTCTACATGTGGTGCGTAAACCCGAGATTAAAAGATATGTTTCACAACCCCTCATCATATCTCCAGATACACAACAACGCCCTCATAAAATACATTAGTCCGTATATTTTTGTAAACAATGTTTGATTTCAGTAAAACTTTCTCCTGTTTTAAGTATTTGTCCATATAAATCTTGACTGTGTTTTAAAAGTTTTTTCAGGAACATTTTCTATTTATAGGATGGATGTTTGATTCAGTACCCATTCCCAGGTGTTGAATATTTGATTACCGAGTGTATTGTAATTTTGAACGTCGGATTTCAGAACTTATTCTGGTGTTATCAATATTCACTTTTTAGAGCCCGTTCTAGTTCATTAAGTCTAAGATTTCAGAACTTACTTTAGTATTGTTCATGTTTTATTCTTTTAAATATTTGATTTCAGAATTCATTGGTGGATCTTATGACTCGGATGAACTCTTCCGAGCCAAGTTTCGTAAGGTAAACTAGATTTGCTATTATATGAAAATGATGAACATGTTACTAATTTAAGGAAAGAGCACCATCATTAATCTTTGGGCCATTGTGAATCATATTATTGAATCCGTGTGTGAACAGAGCCCACATTGTTATTACCACGAGTTTATTTTAAAAAAAAAATTTCTATTACCACGTGTTTATTTTAGAAAATTTGTTATTTCCACGTGTTTATTTTAGAAAATTTGTTGATTTATTTTAATACAAAATATATATGAGAACTAGCCAAGCGTTTGAAATGAAACATGGAGGTAAAATACCCCCAGAATCTACATCTCATGTACAAATCTTAAACCCCTGTTCACTCATAGCTACCATGGCTGAGACCTTCGTAAATGTAAATGTTAACCTACAGTCTGCTTCAAATAAACACTTTGTCATCGTCAGATCTACAAAATCTCGTATTTAAATGTTATACTGAATTTCACCCTTTTGAATGAAACGATTCGCCTATGTTTTTTTCTTGTTTCTCCGGGGTAATCAGAAATAGATCACATGTAAACCGAGCAACAAGTCGTATATGGGGTTACGAAAGTAGAAAAAAGTAGTATAATTGTAAAATGCGATAAAAGGACTAATGAAAAGTTGGGACATAACATAAAATAGAACTATATTTAATTTATCATCATTGGTGCTGTGTGGCCTAATTTTGTAAATCCTTTATATACCACTGAAAAAGTGTAACCACTGTAACTTAATTCCTTTATCATTTCGAAATGTCTCAACAGTATTCGAAAACAAGCCTAGGGATACTGTTGGTAATGGATGAGTCGTAAACAATATACCTACTGATCAAAATTTTCTAAATTTTAAAGAATTTAGATGCGTTTTTTCTTTATACATTTTAATAAATTCTTGTTAATCTTCTTTGACGTACAAGAAAAGATTCCAGTGACATTGTTTTTTAATGTACCTTTAAACATACATTATGCAAGAGCTAAATCTGCTTATTGCACGTCTTTCTTTAGGCCTGAAATGTTATCTAAATTATTAATTAGACATTAATTAACTTATCCAGACCATCAACTCTCGCTAGCCTGCGATGTTTATTGGATTACATTCTGATTTGCTGTTCAACTTCCATTCATAAATAAATCAAAAAATGGATAATCGAAACTATGTTTTTTTTATCCTATTGACTTTAGTAATGATGATCGAAGCTAGACCGAAAATTCAATTGCTAAAATCTCGGTTCAGAGTGGATCAATTTAACTGAAATTTTCAGCAAATTCCCTTTACGTTATTTAGTTTTTAACTATTATAGAGAGAACTCCCAGCTCTTTATCTAATCTCCCATAATGTATCTTTAATGAAATGATACAGCAGAATAACTTAACAATATATATACGGATAACTATTAAGATTAGCCTTTGTAAGATCATGTGTACAATATAGCGTTAATTGGGTAAATATTTATAATCCTGTGCATTGTATACTAACCTTATACTGTGTGTGTGTGTGTTCTGTCTTTAACACTTTCTTTGCATATCTCAATATATTATTATTCATTTACGTTAAGCCCAACCACAATATATTATTATCATTCATTACGTTAAACCCAATCTCAATATAACATTTTTCAGGTGCGTCAAGCCCAATGAACAGAAAGTATCAGATAAATTCCACCAGGACCAGGTTGTTAAACAACTTAGTTCTAGTGGAGTTTTCGAGGTTAGCCGTATTCGACATTCTGGTTACCCGGTCCGTATCATCTTTGAAGACTTCATAGACAGGTAAGTAAAACGTGAACACCTATTTTTGTGAAAACTTTATCTAGAATTTGATTCAGTTTCAAACTGTATAAGGTATTTACAAATGCACTGGGCCTAAAAGAATATGTGCTGATGTTCTATTAATGAACTTTGGTTTTATTAATATGAGTACCTTAAAAAAAACTACCAAACTTTCTATTAACGGTAATTTATACGTAATAAAGATGGCGGAGTGAAATCAGTGGACATGTAAACTTTAAATGGCAATAAAATACGTTTTGATCGACCTGTCTGAATACCTTTTTTTTACTATATGTTTTTGGTATGCCAAGGTAAATTTGTCTATAGTTAACCTTTATTCTGACTTATTGTCACTTTAACATTGTTGATTAGAAATGTTTAGGCGTGCACTCAAAAGACAAATTGCAAATTTAAAGTATCCTGTAGGGTGTTTGTATCACCAAAGAGCTACTAGAAATCATTAACCCTTTCTGTCATGTTATTTTATTGTGTATTTCGAAATGACATTTGTTTAAGAAGAACACTATAAAAGAGCATATTTATCTGCAACTGTCTGATGGATTTCTGTTGATTTGTTTGTTTGTATTTAAAGACCAGTTAACACGACTTTTATTGAAGAATTTGATACAACAGAAATCTTTTTGATACCGTGTAAAATAATCCGAAAGTGCGAAAAATTCCAGCCTTATTTAAAAAGCAAATATATTTCAAGCTGTAAACGTTTTTCTACAAAGACGACGATATAAATTGAATGATATTGTCCTGAAAAACTCTAAAAAGACTTTATCTAACGAAAACACAAAATGGCTGTGCCAGACACGAATCTGGTGTTTTCACAACTAATTTTTTTCTTATTTTCCCACAAAACAATAAAATATCTCTCATTGCATTTAGTACAATATCAACATTAGTGTCGCTAGTTTCACTTGTTTAAGAAAATTCTCAAAATAAGACAAATTATCCCGAAGTTGCTTTACAGTTAAACCAGTCTTTTACTGGACACACACTGCATTCTTCAAAAACATTTTAAAAGCTCTTGTCGTATTACTGACCAATAGTTTTCTTGTTTTAAGGGTAAATTTGATTGTGGCATAGAACAGGTCTCCGACAGTCCTAGAATTTCTTGTCTATACAAATTAAACGTACCAATAAAATGTACTTCGTATATTTTTAGAAAGTTTCCCAAGTTAGGTTTTTCACCAAATTGTTACTTATTTCTTGATCAACATAATAAACTAAATTGTGTATTGTTTCAGATATAAGATAATTGGATTCAGACCGGATAGATATGTTGAACCTAAACCAATCAATTGTGTGGCCATCTTGAAGACATTGGGATTGTCAGATTTTGAAACAGGAGAAACAAAGGTACGTTGGTATTTTATTTTTAAATCATTTAAATCTTAATATTAATATTTATCTAGAGAAATCCCATATAATATTGAATATAAATGAATTATCTCTCACAGTAATCGTTTATTTTTTTAATTATTTTGCTTTATTTGCTTCTAACCACCATTATGGCATCACTTCTATTGATAATGCTATTATTATTTCTTTACTGTTTCATTTTGTTAGAAGCAGGAACAGTGGTGCCTCTATTCTTGTTCTTCTTCTTTTATTGGGGGTGAGGCTCTTAAAAGAATCTAAGGCTCCGTCTATTCGAATACGATCGACACGAAACTTGGCATGCTTGTTCTTTGAACAATCGTTATCGATAAACAGTTTTCGGTCTTTGATATGACATCACAATTCTAAGATAGCGCCGATGACTTCACGAATCGGAGCTTCCGGGTCGCAATTGTTCAGTAAAACTTCATTATTACTCTTCAGATTCTTATATCTTCTCTGGCACCCTTTCCTGCCGTTTCCCCCTCTTCTAGTTGTTATTACTTCGTCCATGCACAACATGCTGACTCTCTCTGCAACCTCCGTAATGTCAATAAAGAAATCAAACCGGATGTTAAACCAGTAACATGAATATATGTATCTTAGAGCTGTTCGAGCAGCTTCAGGACCCTGTTACTGATCTTGAATATATCCATGGAACTTCTTCAGTACAGTGCCAATTAGTTTTTCACTTTCACTTTCTGTGTCCAAACCAGTAACATGAATATAGGTATCGTGCAACTTCAGCACCCTGTTAATGATCTGGAATAAATCCACGGTACTTCTTCAGTACAGGTCCCAATTACTTTTTCACTACTACTTCCTCTGTCCGGTTTGTTACTTACCTTTTTTACCACTCTCTTGACATCTATTACCATTAGCAACCGTGTTACTTCTCCAGTAAATCTCGAATCAATCGGTGCCACTTCTTATTTGTCCTGTATCCTGTAAACACTTTCAGTACCAGTTCCTGTTATTCTCCTCTTTAACTCTTTTGGTACAATTTCCTAACTCGTCTCAAATACCGCTTTGTGCTGTTTTCTTGGTAAACCATCCTCTTTCAGGAACCAGTTGTTGTTCCATAGTTGGTATAGCTTCTTCGGTTGTTTTTCCATCCATGTTTACTTTCCTGCTATTACATCATGTTCATATTACTTCTCAAATAGCTTCGTATTATTTCATATTTGTATGGCCCCTGATCTGCGCGATGATGGTCCAGTTTTGTGTTTGTGTCCTTCAGACCTACTCAAGTTACTGCTCCTTTAGCCTCTGGTTTAAACACATGTTATTACCATAAATTAAAAGGATTGGGCAAAAGTTACATCAACTTACACGAAATTATTCCAGATGACAAAAGGTTTAAAATAAAGAAGAGAATTAAAATGGTGCTGAGGAATTAATCTCATCATTGACAAATAATCATTAGAAATAATACCTGAGAATTATTCCAATGTGTGCAAGAACCTTGAAATTATTATATATACCTCATTTGCAACTAACTTACAGAACAAAAATATTGAAATATTTCAGGAAGAGTTCTTTCAAGTTATATAATTCCAAATAATAAATTTAGTATAGTATAAGGACCACTTATTGCGAATTTTCGTTTACATTTCACAATAATTCTATGATATTGATGCATCACCTCCTCTTACTCTTGTGCTGGTTTCCCTTAAATTCCCTGGAGTAAGTCATCTATTTAAGAATGTCTGTGGTTCCTCTTATTCTTTTTGTTTCCTAGCCATAGCCTTAATCTATTTAATCTTCAATTCGATGTAATTTTTCATTACTCCGTCCAGTCCTACATGTATATATCCGATAACCAACCCCAACCTTCGATACTGTTAAAGCCTTTTCCATCGATACTTTAAAAGCTCAAGAGGTACAACAAAATTGAACATTACATCGATTTTTTTGTATAAATGAGAAATAATATGTAGATCTTCTAGAAATACTAAGCATACTTTGCATCGTACTCAACAACATTTATTTGAGCGATGTGTTGACAGACAAGGACCAAAGATAATGGCCAGTTCAATTCTTTTTGAATTCTGTGTTGATTTTTAATGGATTTAAAAGGCTCTATCATAAATACCCCTGATGTTCGTTTTCTCTCGTGTTTGTAATAGACCTTTTAGTTGGGAGATCGGGGAATATGTTCTGAAAAATCTGCTCATCGGCTCTTTTAGCAATTCCTCCATTTCTAATGATCACTCCGTATGATCATCAGATATGATCCTGTTATAAATCTATCTGTCATACATGTCCAACCTATCGCTTCATTTGACTGTAGGCGGGTAGTGACAAGTGTCGTCGAACATGAGAAGGGATAAAAGGTATTCATTCACTTATTCCACAGTTTTGTATTTTCACCAACTATGTATACTTCCTCTCTCTCTCTCGCTCTCTCTCTCTCGCTCTCGGAAAGTGGCAAAAATCAAATACGTCACGCGCCTTCAAAGTACATACAAACCTGTCGCCAAAATGTAAACCGCGATGAGCACGTAGCCATTTGTGTATAGTCTTCACTATCGGAAAGTTTGAAAATACTTTTAAAATTAACAGTGGGCGTGTTGGAGGGATTTACTGCAGCAGGTCACCGGGTACGACATACCGACTCATCTTAAATGTAGAATCAGAAAGCAAGAAAAAACAACAGTTATTCTACATGTAGAAATGTTGAGTCGTTGTTTAATTAAACAAACTTTAACTAAACTAGACATGTAACAAAACGAATTGATATTCTTACAAAACACAAGAGTCAATATTAGAACATGGGCTTTAATTCTTAATCGTATTTGCACCAATGTTCAAATTTTCAGTAGACCAAGTTAAAATATTTCCCGGTAACACAGAAAGGCTGTGCAGCTTTTAGTCAATTATATGGTTAATCCATTGTGTGTGTATGGTTTAGAGACAGATAGTTTAGTCGCACGAAATGTGATAATCGTAAAGGAGACTTAAAGCTGTCAATTTTTGTGATGAAACTTTTCATATGCCATGCTTAGTTTTAAAATAACAAATAATATCGGAAAACAATTAATAATATATATTGTTACCTTTAATAAATTTTATAATCATTTAGTGACCACCTAAATCATTACTTTAAGACCAAATTGTTCTTTCCTCTTTTTTTGAGTAAATCGATCTATGAAAATCGTTTAGGAGCATTAACACTACGATCTATCTCGATATCCAATTACTATTTTTAATGGATTTCTAAAATCTTTAAATTGTTATATGTCCCACGCTAAATTGTTCCATCTCCTCCTGTTTAAGGCCATTTAATTCCGTTACTAATTCTTAGGTAATTAAAGCTGTTTTGGTGGGGGGGGGGTGTTTGTCTTTTTTGGGGGGGGGGGGTGGAAATGCCAGACTAGGGGTGGAATGAATGTTATTGGGTATATTTTGAAAAATAATAGTTATACCACAAAGTTCTTTTGATTTCAGTTGAACGCTTAAACGTTCTGTGGTTCTGAATCTTTGAACTGAACCCCAATGTCTCTTAAAGGGCGTGTGTGGTTTTCGGGTAGCGAATTTTATGAAATAATGCGATGTTAATTTTCGATTTTGGTGGAAATTATATCCGTAAAAGATCATAGGTCTTGACCATTTTAAAATCACGCCCACAGTACATGATATTACATACGCAAGATGTGCATGAATGGAATGTGATTTACGACATAGGTCTTGACCATTTTAAAATTACACCAACAGTACATGATATTCCTTAATGTAACATGGGCATGAATGGAATTTTGAAACAAACCTACAGTACTTGCGAGGTACGACAGCGGTGTTTCCCACAATTCTTTGTCCAGTTCCAATTGTCAAGGGTTCTTTTCCGTGTACGCCAGTGTATATATGGATGATTCCCGATTTATTTTGTCTCGTGCGAACGATTATACACACTATCGGAAGCAAAGGCCGTGTTTGAAAAATCGAATTCGGGAAAATCGAGTCGAGAGTCCAATTCCATGACCACCCGAATACCGCAGCCGCAATGTGTAACATGGTATAGCACCAAAATATGTTACATTTGTGCACTGAGCCCGACACAATCAAACATGCCATCCAATAAAAAGTTGTCAAATAAATGCTGCAAAGCAATTACTTCATACATTTTCATTCACACGAGAAACGTTTGTCGTTGTAATGCTAATTTGCCAACAAAACTGTGCCCGTGTCAATTTTTCTTTCTTGAAGGCCTAGTTCGACGTTGACAAATTAAAAATATTTTTATTAATAGCCCGAATTGATCTAAGATGTTAGTTTACCAACATCTTGTATACAGAAAATATACACCACCGCACATGTAAATACCACCATTCCTTTTATTTTAACTTCTTTCCGTTTTCGTTAGCCCAGTCGGAGCAGAACAGTAGGACGTTAAACCCCATTTCATTTCAATTATAGTAAATATGAAAATAAGGATTGTTTGATATTTTCGGAAGATATAATGGACTACAGTTATTATATAAAATGATGTGTATGTCAGCAAGGTTTAAGGTTGTGTTGTAGTGGCGTATATAATTGGTGTTCTTTTTGGTGCCTTAACCTGAGCCTCTCGATTTAGCACTAGTGTTTACACCAGTGTCTAAACTAGTTAAATACCAGCGTTAAAGTTACAATTTCATTTTTTTAAGTTATATTTTTAAAATGTATTAAAATAAAGCCCTAAAATAGATGGTATCTATAAACAGTCCTACCTTGTTAAAGAATAATGCTATTAATCCTATAATTCACTATTGCCAGTTGAAAAATTGGCAAAAATATCATTTTCAACTTCAAATTCAAATGTTTGAAGAGAGCTATTCCATGGTGGGGAATAGAACACAAGGGAGGTAATTGGGAGGTAATTGTGTTGTTATTTCCGGTGTGAAGATTTTTAAGTGTGAGAAAGATAACCTATAATCGTATAATAGTGAGTTGACAACCTATCGAGCAAAAGACATAGAAATAATTATGTTTTGACTTTCTTAGAAAATATGAAACTGTAACTTTAACACTGGTGGAAAATAAAACAACGCCTATAAAACTAATGTTATTTTAAATGTTACACTTTGTTTTTGCCTTCTGTTATAACGCTTTCAATTTTTTTGCATGAGCCGGCCAACTAAAATAAAAACACCTAAAGAAAGGCAATTGAGGAAAACTAACGGCTTCAAGGAAGTTAAGTAACTAGGGTATATGTTGAATAATTGTAGTCTCATTTGATCATTATTCAGTCAAAATGTCCTATCTCAAATTTTTCGTAAATCAGCAGGTCTGCCATCAACATTTCTTTGTCTTGCGGATTGGCCATATATGGTTAAAAAAAATCATTTTAAGCCTTAAAACTAAATCTGAAAGCCCCAAAAGAAATTCCCTTCTTGCCGTATCCTGGTTCACACCAGTGTTGTAATAAATGAGTTGAACTGAGATTTTTTTTAACCCCTAGGTGTTAGTGTTAGGGTTATTTTTAACAAGATAATAACTTTTATCAAGTTTTTATTATCTAACAAGTTTTTATGTAATTAGAAATAATATTGCACAAAGCTTCTTGTAATTATATTTTTTTCATGTAAATTTGTTTCTTAAATCGGGAAATGAATATTGAAAAATATAGACAAACTGAGGGGCTCAGGTATAAGTTGGTGTTTTGGTAACACAGATACGACACTAGTGTTTATGTTGTGTAAATATATCCATATTTAACACAACCTCAACACCGCAAACCTTAACTCAGACTGATTTTAAATACAGGGGGTCTGAGGTTGAGTTAGCACAGTGTTACACCAGAGCTATACTGATCTAACTGGGGTTAGACACTACACCACATTACCCCAGGACTTGAATTGACCCATTGTTATGGTTAAATGTTTTGATTCAAATTTGACATGAGCATTACGGTTTGATTGAAACGTGACATGAGCATTAAGTTTTGATTGAAACGTGGCATGGTCATTCAGTTTTGATTGAATCGTGATTTGGTCATTGAAACGTGACATGGTGATTCAGTTTTGATCGAATCATGATAAATAATCATTAAATCTTGGTTGAATCATGATAAAAAATCATTAAGTTTTCAAATGAACATTATCAAGAAGTAAGATTAAACACCGTTTCTTCCTATGTTGGAAGAATTTAATAAAGTTGTCTTGCATAAAAAAAAGGGAAGGCGAATGGCTAACGGGTTCCTTAGACCATTGAGAAGCACAGATTTGGTCTGAGATTGTATATTTGGATTTTTATTTTCAATAAATTATCTGATCTTACGAAAAATAATGGTTAACGTGGGGGAACAGTTATTTCGTTTATATTTGGAGAACTACTTATTCAAGTCTATTTTTCTGGTGATATTATGTATACTTTTCAGTACAGTTCGTTCGTACCATATATTTACCTTAGAAATACGTCATTAAACATGTTAATACGCCGAGAACGGTTTGACATACAGAAACGAGTTATCGTTTCTCACCGACAAATGTTGATTTGTCGAAGACCAGATTAACAGATATAGTTTGCTCGTTAAGGAACATCTTAACCTCAGAATATGCAACATGAAGATGAAGATTGCATTGCCTTTGTCTCGGCAACTTCTTTTACAGAAATAGTTTGCACATCAATAAGGATTAGAATTCTTCTGTTTTGTACAATGGCTAATCCGCTTACTACAGGCAATCTTTGTTGTGCAAGAACTGACAACTGTAAAAATAGAAATCAGGGGAATTCAGTTTGCATACTTTATGGACATTGTCTTTTGAAGTAAACGGAATCATCCGTTGTGACATAAGAATACAGTCAACACAGTACTTATCTCATATTTATAGAAATAAAGCTGTAAAAACTGTTTTTCCCTGTTCCAGTTAATACGCGGGATTTTAAGTTCAATTTTACAGATTCTTCTTCACATCTTTTTTGGATATTCTAAACAATTCCGTCCTTTGACAATGGCTGTTAGAAAATTCTTTAAATCTTAAAAAAAGAGTTAAAACAATAGCATAAACGACTGTTATGTTGGATTCGAAGGTTTAGCTGAGGCATCGGCTTTACAGAAGCTTTTATACAGAAAATACTAGGTTTGTTCGTGCTCAAATTTACTTATTCAAGACAAAAATGGATTTGAAAACTTCTGACAAGAATGTTGAAGGCGCCCAACGATATACTCGTATTAGGACCTTCGTGCCTTTGTTTCTATCATATGTACATCAAGATTAGCAGGGCTTTTATTCTATACACACTATTTACAAACATACCAGCTTAATATTGTTTGCAAATCTAGACATTTTCTTAGGTAAACTCCATATTCTAAGAACCATTAACATTCTTCAAAAAGGACTCGTATACTAATAATTATATTAAACCAAATTTTAATATAATTTAGGTAATGACAAGCATTTTGGTAGTAGATTCCTGTGATTTTCCAGGAATAGGCGTTTATGTAAATATGTTACGTCAATCAATACGATTCCACAAGAGATTCAACATGCTATTAAATCAAAAAGTTAAAAATGTAAAAATAATATTTGCTCTTATTTATACTTGTGTATATATTTACATAAGTTTATCAATGTATTGTATGGAATGATTTATTCCAATTTTGTTTTTCTTAATTCCAGGTGTTTCTGAAATATTACCACTATGACAGACTTAACGAGTGTATCAATGATTTACATAGAAAAGCCATAATAATTCAGTCACGTGTTCGAGGCTACCTGACCCGTAAAAAATACAAGAAACTCGATCCAACCAGACGGAAAATGGAAGAAATTGCATTTGAAGCATACAAGCAAAGGAATCGAGATAGCTTCAATGAAAAATTAAAACAAACTTTACACAACTTGAAAGACGATCAGGACTTTAATGTAAGTATTGTTTATAATTTTCTCTTATAATGCAAGTTGTCTGTGTTTGTATATTTTGGTAAGTGTATGTAAATATGGATTCATATATATCTGTAAACATTCATATTTATTTTAAAAATAGCATGATTATTTCTGTTTCAACAATAGCATGTTTATTTATTTCTTAGTGCTCAGAATAACATTGATATTACGCTAGTAATATGTTTTTCAAATAAATATCTTAACATTTCTATTGATATAGCTATAATTCATATTATATAATATGTCTCAATTTAATTTGGTGCAGGGGCTCACATATCTAACATTTTTTTAATTTATTTTTAATGCATGAAGCAAAGCAAAGGTCTATTACTGAAGGATCTCGGGTTTTCTTTGCCGCCATTTTGTAAGTTTGCATCGGTGTTGTCATATTATTTTGGTAATACTCAGATCGTCATATCGTAAGTTTGCATTCGGTGTTGTCATATTATTTTGGCAATCTTTATACATTAGTAGGATATTAAACCCCATTTCATTTCATTTCATACATTAACTGATCTGGGCCGTATTAAGAATCATTAAGAGGCAAGAGGTAACATTTTCAAGACTTTTGACCCAATTTTTGCATCTGTAAGGGCATTGTTGTACTCTTCTTTTACTTATGTCAGCATATAAAACCTGTGTAAAGATGTGTTAATTGAAAACTGATACGAACACTTAAAATGTGCGCAAAGTTTAAAGTCGTCATTATATAGAAGTAAAACACAGGAAGGTGTTGACAGAGACGGTAAAGAGATTTATTAATAGGTTTGTAGATCTGTAGATGCATACTGGGAATAGTGGGTGATTTGGTCATCTGTCTGTCTTATTAACCTGTATGTTATATATGTACCTCTATGTTATATATGTACTATGTGGTTTAGGTGACAGTTTCTTATAATACACAGGTAAGTTGGTATTTTATTAATTAGATTTGAATACTATGCAATTTAGAGAAAGAAAAATGAAATGAATGTAAAATGAATGATTAATTTTCTTCTTGTAAGAGTATAGACCTATAATTAGATTTGAATACTATGCAATTTAGAGGAAAAAAATGAATTGAATGATTAATTTTGTTCTTGCACGAGTTTCGACCTATAATTAGATTTGAACACTATTCAGTTTGGTGGAACAAAATGAAATGAATGATTAGTTTTGTTCTTGTAAGAGTTTGGACATTAAATTAGATTTGAATACTATGCAATTTAGAGAAAAAAAAATATTGAATGATTAATTTTGTTCTGAATCTGGACCTATAAAGCACAGCTATCTCCAATATCTCAGCAACTGTATCTCTGTTCAGAACAACACCGTAAAATAACAAAGATAAATTTAAAAGTGTATTTTAGATCAATTAAAACCGAACAGAATTTGTATCAGAAAACAAGAAAGGGTTGATTTTGGGCCTGCAATTTCAATGTATTCATCTTAACTAAGTTTGCAATACACACTTTAAAAGATATTACTTTGGAAACATCGAAATTAGAATTTTATATAACAGTGAAATTGTGTTATTTCCTTTGCCTCTGTTTCGTAGAGAGTAGACTGTGACTCCACCTATCTTTCATAAGCAGATACACGTTTTTGTTCTCAAAACGATGAAAAATTAAAGATTACTGTTTTATTTCCGACCTAAGACAATACAGCCGACAGGTGGACAAACTGTCTATTTAACTGTCCAAAGATGAGTTATTTGTCGAAAGTGGTCTAATAAAAGGATTAGCCTCCCTTGTCGGAAAAATCCATATTTAAATATCTAAAATTAACACGAATATAGAATACAAAGGGAACAAAATTCCTCGCTAAATCCAGTAAAGAGTTTCCGAAAATCCAAAATATAGAAAAAAAATATATAATAGAAAAAATTCCATATAGAACAGCCCTGGTAGAAATACCGAGCTTTCCTACTTGCATTCACTTGATTCCAATCCCATGAATTGGACTTGTTCGAAGTAAAAGAACATCTCTGAAATGTTACAGGACTGTTTATTGACTATTGGGTGTTTGCAATTGTTTCGTATGTTCCGTTGAGCCCCGACGAGGATTATCCCTTTGACAAAAAGCTTATTCTTCGCGAACTAATATTGGATGACAAACACGGCACTCCGTTCGCTCTTCTATTGGACCACTGCCATTGGGCCACTTGGGGTTTGATCCGCTAGTATTTCTTCGTTAAACACGGCAAGAATTTTTCAACGCTTTGAAAATTCTTCGCGCATGCGTTTATTTCGACGGACAAAGACCGAGCCTCGGTTGTTCTGTTAAGGAGATTATTGTATTTTTTCTGATTAGATTTTACGTAATATTTACTTGGATGCGATCACTGACGGAACACAGCCGCATGTCCTCATTTGAACTTTAAGTCCGACTGGGATCGTGTGACGTGTGGCGCATGACTTACTACTAACAGTTTAAAGTTTGTCCATATTGCAACGTCTGTGACAACTTGGATACTTTACTTCTGTAGTCTGGAATATTGTCGTTAAGCTATTGAAGGTTCATTCTCGATGCTACAGCCAGTGATTATTATATTGTATATTTCTTATTTTTCAACCACAGATTATTAAAAATCTGAATCCACCCAAGTCACCTATTCCTGGAGTGGATAAGGAGAAAAATGGGAGTGAGTCTGTGATAATAATGAGCTCATCGGAAAAATATGCACAAAGCGATGGAAACAATCGCCTAGGATATAGTGAAGACGATGCTACAGGTGGACACAAACGGCGACGAAAACGTTGGCGCAAAAATTCACAAAAGTCAAACACAACTGCTTCAGAATCTACGGCAACGACTAACCTGTCCACGAACCTTCCGCATCAGCAACAGGACGGTATCATGGATATTGGGTAAGTTTACGTAAATCTCATTTAGCGAGTTCCTTATTATGTAAGGTTGGCTTAACACCAGTATGGTTTTCCTATTCTTTATTTCTCCATTTATTTTAGTTTAACCAAATAAAATGTTTGATTTAGATTATGTTATTTTCATATGGCGGCTATCTCGAACAATTTATATCTTTTGACTGTGAAATCAGAATTGATAGTTGACCAGTTGGCTTTATATCATGGCGGACGTCCAAGCTAAATGCCACAATAATTTTACTTGAAAGGATGTCTCTAGAGATCGGGACATGTAGTTTACTGTAACAATAGTTGTTTCTTAATTATTTATATCGTTTAATTAAATTATAAGATGGCTAAAACAAGTGTTGACTTTTAGACAGAATCTGTAATGTTTTGATTTTTTAATTTCTTCCAAATTATACTTTATTATCATCGAAATGCTTGCCTTTTTAGTTTGCAATAAATCATGTATCCAAAATTCCAATTTCTAATTCCTTTCCAAGTAAAATCTGGTTTGCAATGACTTAAATATGTAAAATACTAATATTCTTCCATATCAGTAGTAAAATGGATAATTTGCAATAAATTATATATAAGAAATGCTATTTTGTCTCATACCAAAGTGCAAACAAAGTCATTAAACTGCCGTTAAAATTTGATAAAAAGCTTCTGGACGAGAACTATATGTGATATAAAACTATAAACGGTTAATCCAAAATGGCATGACCAGCTAGCCCAACAGTGGATGTTTGTTTTTTCTAGCGACTCTTTAAGTCTTTGTTAAATGTATTTAAAAAAGAGAAGGGTGGCACATTGTTAGTTAAGGGATTTTTATGCATTGGTGAAATCATTTTTTCTTTACTTGGCATTGTTTTCAGTTTTTGATTTATAAAGGTATTTTAAGTAATTGTTTAGCTATCGCTTTGTAAATAGTTAGTAATGCAAACATCGAAAACGCTGAAGGTTTTATTGCTCGAAAGACGAGATGTCACATGCTAGATGGAACAATTGCCATTTAGAAATCATTGCGGATTAATTAATAGTTTGTTTGTTCGAAATACATGAATAGAAGGGTTAGAACACGGTGATCATGACCTTTCGCATCTTAAGTGATTTAAAATAGATTGGCAGAAGTCACGGCAAATCTATATCCCAAACATGGCGTCTAAAGTAGCCCGATCGTCAGATTACCGCCAGATTGTCAAATTTCGTGAATCCCACGGTCACGGATTGTTAACGCATCATTTTTATGCCAAATAGAAAAAAATGACGATAATGACGTAGATTATGTCACGATTATCCAGAATCGATTTATCAATAGCTTTCCATAAGATAAAAAGTGACTTGAACAATTTGCATAAGGCGTGTAAATGAAGACGAATGCAAATGAACAAAAGGCAACACATTTTCTGTTTCGGAGAATCTCTCTGAACTCATCACCCCACGTGATATTTTTTTAACGTAGATGTGTTTATCCAGTGCTGATCCCAGTAGATAATTGAATCATAGGCTGGGTTTTGATACCTCGGACTCTAAGCCAGATTTTCTTTTCTCAAGGAATGTGGTAGTTGATGAAAAGTTTGTGTTAGTTAGGAATTCGTCATGATATGAGTTACACTGTGACAAATTGATCAGTTTTAAGACACCTCAACAAGAAACTGTGTAATAGGAAGCTAATGTTGGTTCAAATCGTGCTTGGAGACGCTTATTCCCGATTTATATTGACATGATCGATCTTGTGTTCCTACCGATCAGTTTAGCCAAATAACTCACCAAACTTGTATGTCGAACTCCTTTCAGCGCATTGTTTTTTTTCCCGATTAAGCCCGAATGCCTATGACCAATGTTTTTAAATTTGTATCTAATTTGGCGGACAGTTAATCCATTTGGATGAAGTCCACTGATAAGTTTTTACATTTTATCTACTGCAATTCTCGCTGGCAAACATAAAATATTCAGCTATGAAAACAAACAGATTTGTGTTTAGTGATTCTCGAATCGTCTCAAACCTAACAGGAAGCCATATTGATCTCTTGTAAACTTAAGACATTACACATCATGGTGGCATTTTGTAGCCCATCGCTCTACCCGTGATTCGTTTCGGCAGTTGGCCAAAATGGAGACGTGATCAGAAGCAAAGCTCTTGTGTGGATAATGGATGTACTTTATTATTTATTCATAATGGATATATTTTATAAATGAAGTTTTAATATGATGTCCTTGGACAGGTTTGTGCCTTTTTTACTCCTTGTCAGCAGTTTTTATTAGCAGTTAAATGGATTTTGAGTATGTAAATAAGTCTTTTCCTGGACGTTCTCTTTTTTTTTACATCATTGTTTACTGTGGGTTGTGGGAAAGTAAACTTTCTCCTGCAGTCTAGCCTTATTTAGCACCGTGCAACTATGTCTTCTTGCCATCATATGATTGTTAGAAGAACCACACCATTATCTAGCAGATTAGTTCGCTTTAAAGACAACTTAGTTAAGTTAATCGATGGCTTAAGACACAAATGTTACACAAAATCACAAACAATAGAGAATTATACTTCTTTTGTTGTATTTGTTTTTGTTTTAAAAATATATTTCAATTCCTTAATACAAACAAGGTAAAATTCCGCCTTTTTGTAGTCTAATAAGGCAAGTAAAAGATGTCCTCGGTGAGGTGGGGGAAGGGGAGTTGTGTTATTTACGCTGCAAGGTAAAAGCGAAAACAGAATATGCTCTCTAATCACGGATCTGTGGAAAATTGGAAAATCCATTATTCCGCAGTTTCCCAATGGCCCCGTTCCTAATTTTAGACATGTATATTTTTTCTTTAAAAAACTATCGACCGAATCAAGAAATTTCAGCGGCTAACATGAGTAAATATTATTTCCATCAAACAAACTTAAAAATTCTAAACAATTGCTGTGCTCTTGCAAAATAGATTTTTGATAAACATGCCACAAAAATTGGACAAATTGTTATCCCCAAATTCTTTTAAATTTTATTGGAATTTATTTATAGAAAAACTTTGGAAAGTTCAGAATCTGGTTTATATTGTATCTGTTACTGACGGTTAGGTGAATTTTTGTCGTTTATCAGAGGGAAAAATATGTGACAATAACATTTACATGAAAGCTTCTGGATAGACTAAATAAATCCTAATATAAATCCCCGGAAAGCCGATAGTGAACCCATCCAATTTATTTATCACGTTTTACAAAGGATCACCCGTGTTCCATAATCTGTAAAAATATTCTTTGAAATTAGTTGTCGGGCCATGAGCCATTTACTAACTTGTTCATCTGAAATTTTCTTATGGACAGTCTTGTTGCAATATCGATAAATCGATTATAAAATTAATCAAGTATAGATAGAATTTCTTGAATTAGTGAAACATCGACCAAACCTGAAATTGAGTCACCTTGAATCAATACCGTACATAATCGTTTACATATTTCGAAATCCATTTACGATTTTGTTTCTTTTTGTTGCGAATTTTAACTTTTACTACAATTTACTTTTCGACAATCAAGTACAGTTATGTGGAACCAAGAAAGCTTACAAATCCAAACTATCGTTCTCACACTTGCAATTTTTTGTTGACTCTGGCGGAAACGGGTACCGATTTCCCATTGAACTCTTGTGGTTAATGTGAAATTGGTACCTCTGACAGGTTGATATTTTGAGCTGTGTTTTACATTTGGAAGACACACTGTTATAACATGTACACTCTCCATCGTGATGAATCGCTCTGCGATCAACGGTAACACGGCTTGTCTTTCGAAAATGAGTTCGAATCAAGCCGCGATTCACCGTGTACGTGTACGTGTTGACATGCACATAAAAGATCCCTAAAACATGTACACTCACCATCGTGACGAATCGCTCTGCGATCAACGGTAACACGGCTCGTCTTTCGAAAATGAGTTCGTTACAAGCCGCGATCCCCAGTATACGTGTACCTATTAACATGCACATAAAAGATCCCTAAACCGTTGGATCTCGACGAAAAATAGAAGTAAACGCCGTTGCTATCCTCCCTAACATTACACAGTAAATAATATTACCGCATTAGCGAGCGTTAAAAACTATTCGTTACCATTCAGAAGGTCATGTTAGTCTCAGCGATTTAATTTAAATATTGATTTGGGTGCCTGAGCAAATGCCCATCAGTTTGAAATGTATACATGTGCGTCGACATCTCATAATCTTAGTGGCGTTGTATTTTTCCATGAACTCAGAAATGAAACATATAGTATACTGAAGGGTCTCTTACATTATTTGCTGGCAAATGAACTGCTGTGGGTTATTAGAAAACAAAAGCTAGGCAATTGGACAATATACCGGATAACAACGCCACAAAATCATAGCGCTGCAAAGCAAAACATGGAATTAACAATAACAATTTTTATTCCACCCTTTAAAACATGTCATGTCTTCTGCACGATAGCTATATTATTTCCTGTGAATAAACGGCAAACAGCGCTGACAACTGGACATGATACATACCTATTATTAGATAATGATCACTTTCAATATTCGCGCTTTTCTGACCGTAACTGCATGGATTATGGCCCCTGATTGTACGAGAAATTACGTTTTTAGCTTGTGGACACTCGAGATGTCACAATTTTTATTTGATTTCAGAAAAACGTTCATATATATCACCGTTATACCGTAATTACAGTTGCGTTCGAATGTTGTGAAAATCGGACCAAAACTTTCGTCAAAATGGCTGCTACCCTTTACGCAAAGGTTGTGGACACTCAATCTGTCACAATTTGTATCCGATTGTGATAAAACTTAAAGTGTAAGTTTATATCCCACGAATCTTGGTTCATTTTGATATCAACGCATGTCGGACCGTAACATCCAGGATTATAGGCCCTTCTTGCCTTTTTAGTTTGTATCTTGCTTGGCAACCGCTTCTTAAAAATAAGAAAAAAAAAATGACGACAAAAGAAATGAAACTGAGTGTGAAGTATGCAACAAATGGCATTTAGAGAAGACATGTTAAATCTATAAAAACGATTTGTGTTGTTATGTTTAGAAATTTAAATTATATAATATTGAAAACCCGCTGGCCCAATTGTTTGAAGTTTAATTTTGAGATGCATGATAGGAAATTTAAAAAGATACGTGCTTACTCTCTAATAAGACAAATTAACATGCCCGATGATGTGAAGTAAAATTAAATTACTTGATCTTACTAACGATAGTAACCAATGTTTGAAGTCTGATAAATGAGTTTAAATAAAATCTTCGAAAATAGACGTGTGTTTTATTAGTGATTCAAAGTCGAACTTTTTTGTAACTTTAAAATTCAGATTTTCTTAAATAATAAGAAAAATCTTTTAAAGTAAAATAGCAAATCAATATGATGGTATACAAATAATCATAGCCACATTTTTTTTATTCCAAAATAAAAGGTTATATATTAATCCAATACCAAGTCTTTGACTCATAAATATAAACCCTATTCAAAGATACATTATGTAAGATATATATATAAAGGGCTGGACTGTCTTCCTATAATAGTTTTAGAATTTCAGACAAATTACTTTATTCTGAGCGAAGTAATGGTGGCTACCTTCATTGTGTTTCAGATAGCGGGCGCAATAACATTTGCATTAAACTGGTGTTACTTTTAATTTAAATCACATAATTGACTGTAGTCCATTTTCTTTTTCAGTTTCCAGCCATGGGACCTGTTCAAAACAGTATCTCGGCGAAGTGAAACCATCTATGAAGCATCAACTAATTGGTTTGAAGTAGCCGCCAAAACACTAAAAGTATTCGCCTACTTGTTTATATTTATATGTGTATTAACCAGTGCTTTAGCTAGTAAAGGAAGTTTATTGTTAATGACTCATGCTATAGGAAATTATAAACAAGTAAGTATTATAACATGAAAATAAAACACCCAATAAGGAACATTTAGGATTGTGTTAGAATTCTAAATGAAATGTGTTAGGGTTGGTTGGGTGGCCGAATGGTCTAAGAGAGAGCGAGAGCTGGAGAAATGAGGTTTAACGTCCACTCGACACAAACTAGGTCATTTCGAGACTAACATATGATTCAATTTTATTTCAATAATTTAGCAGCGGGAGGACACGGAGAAAACCCACGAGGTTGGACAGGCGACCCTACTCCTTGTCACGTACAAGCAGGGAATCGAAACCACGGCATTTGATCAATGACAGACCTTAGGTTTACGCGGCACACGCGTTATTCATTCGGCCACCTAACTCCACGAATGGTCTAAGATCTGCGCTTTAGATCATAAAGTATGTCATTGCTCAAGTGGCGTAGTTTCGAATAATAGCGTGTACGTGACAAGGAGTAGAGCCGCTGTGTACAGTAGTGTAAATAACATAAAAATAAAACAAAGAGGAAATAAATAATTAATATCTATAACTTCAATTAGACTGTGTAATTAACAAATTGAGATATTATTATGGAAGTTACCCCAAAATAAATAAATCCTGTAACATGAATAATACGTGGTTGGTCTGGCACCCTCAAACATGATATTAATTATACAAGACCAGTAGTAAGTGTCAAAAGCAATAACATCAATATTGTATATTTTCGTCTATTTGTTTTCAGGGATGGGAGAATCGAGATCGGTGGGTTTATATGGTAATAGCAGTGATGTGTCTTCCGTATATGGTATCCTTTATGGAATGTCTCTTCAAAGTTATGTTTGGAAATTATCCTAGACCTTCTATAGGAAATCTGTCATGGGTAAGTGTTTTTGGAATTGTTTTTAATAATGTTTTAATCAAGTCGAGTTATATTCTTTACCACTTTGTAACTAAGACAGGTCAAAGTAGCTAAGTCTCTAACTCAATATCATCCAAATTCTTCGACATTTAAAACACGAATTATTTGTCAGTTTAAATCAACATTGATGGTGTGATCTTACCGGGAAAAGATGGGCTTCTGATATAAAATATTTAAAACAAAATAAACCATTTTACTATTGGTACACGAATCGTGTACCATAATGCGTTCAGCACCATGTGTAACAAGGCACTCGAAGAACGAGACTAGACATATTCCACAAGGCATGTCAAACGGTGACCCCATATTCTTATCTGCGAGCATGCGCAATAGGTACTATTGATGTAGACTAGAATAACCAGACGACAGAGATTGCCATTCGACTGAAACTTCTGGCGTATTTCGCTGAACATAACTGATTAGAAACGATTGAATGTAAATCAGTTTATATACATTCATGTTACAATATTATAATGCACTGAGACTCATTTGTGTCAATTTCTAGCTCCCAAATATTAGCGATTTAGCCCCTGTAACTGTACTAGTCCAAGGGGGTGGGGTTGGGTTGCCCCGATAGTGCCTACTCGTATTACATCCTTCAATGGCATTTTACGTGTGCGACCAATTTGTATATAGCACACTAGACACAGACAGGTGCAACTTTGTGCTGAAAACTAATTCCCTGGGAAGTGATATTGTATATTAAAAGAATACACACCATATTTCTTAAACTACATTTTCGTATTACCATACCCTCCGTCATAAACTATTTATAGGCTGGGTTTTGGTAGTATTAGTAACTCCTGCATCCTCCTTCTGAAGGAGTCAATATGTATTTTCATTCGTTTTCTGTGAGAAATTCTTGTTCAGATTCATTTTCTATTTTGCAGATTTTGATGATAGAAACTATCCATTCTTTTGGACTGTGTCTTTTTATGTTCCGAGTTCTTCCATGTTTAGATACCGTACGTTCATTATTATTAATGAATGCTCTGTGTTCAGTTCCGGCCATTTTGAGATTGTTTGCCACTAAACGTTCTGAAGATACCAGACGTAAAATAACGACTATCATACTGGATCTTCTATCAGTATGTATGCAGTTATCGGCCTTTGTGATAGTAATGGCATCAATGAAATCAGAATGTGTAAAAACGGCCAGTGATGACGTCGTGGATGAATCGACGTCCTTAACAGAACCACCATCACCCAAATATGTTCCTCCACAAAGTCTTCCACAAACCTCGGAATCAGCCTGGTCATCTACATACGCTCTGTCGGACATGTCCTGGGAAATCCCTCTAGCATTATTTATGATATCAGTTAACTGGTGGGAAAATTTTGTAGATAAAGATTTCCGTATGGGATGCATCGAAATACCCGTCAAGGACTATAAAGATACATTGCATAGAGTTCGTGTTAAAACATATATGATAGCTAATTTATGGAAAGTAGGACTCACTTTTGGATTCGCCTTCTTGTTAGTGCCAAACCTAAGTATGGTTCATAAAGCTTTTGGTGCCTTATTTCACCCAGAAAACTATGGACTTAATCTCAATGCCACTTATCCTACGTCGTATCCACAGATGACTACTGCGCCACCTATTTCCGGCACAGAAGGGCCTGATTTTAGTCTGATCGATATGGATGCCGAAGCACAATTTACATATTTTAATTGCTCTTCAATGAATGCCACCATGTTGCGTTTGTCGGGGATAAATGATACCACTTGTCGTCTGCAAACGGATCCATGGAGGAGCTGGTTTACCTATATGCCTTTACTGCTTCAAGTTGTGTCTTCTGGACTGTGCTATTATTTCGCAAGGTTAGCGTGTAAATTATGCATGCAAAGGTTCTCTTTTGCGATACCCTTAAGCTTGGCTACTCCAGTGGCTGTTGCTAGTATCATTACGGTGTGTTATCTTAAGCCGGAAGAAACTGTTCTGATAAACGACTTTTTAATGTGGGCTTGTAGTGGAAACGGAACAGAACGGAAGTGGTTAATATGGCATCTTGGTCTAGGTTTTGGCCTATGGTGGGCCTCACAGTTGTGGATTACTCGTTACATTTGGACTCCAAAAGCCCCAAGATTAGCTTTTACAGAAAGGTAATTAGTACACCAACATTTTTATATATTCCATAATACTAAATGATCATAGGGTAGGGGTAGTTTTGTCTTTAAAAAAATGTCCATAAACATCGGCACTGTTTGGAGCTTTCAGAAATTGGCATATTAACCCCTTGGGTCTGCAATGTTGATTTTGAAAAGAAATACAAGAAATAAAGATAAAAGGACAATCAGAAAGGACAAATACTGACGATGATTCCTGTGTTTTATGCGTTTATCTGAACGCCTGAAATTGTACGTAGTGCGAAATAAACTTCCCGGTTAACAATTAGCAGGATCCTTACTATGATCCTTTTTCGCATAACATGCGACCCCGTACCCTGATCAAATAAATGGGAGAGAATAACAAATTACATCCTATATGAAAGAAGATAAACGGAAGAAACCAATCTCTAAATATCCTGCCTCTATTTCGGATTTCCTAGCAACCAATTATAGAAGATGTAGCATCGTATTTATCGATCGAATTATATGTTTTTTGACGAATTGGAGTGTGTCTTGGATCTCATCTTTGGTCCATCTGTACCAAAAATGGGATTTCCAGCCACTCCTTTCTTGTTACATTTCAGCCTAATACATTTTGTTAATCAAAATATTTGAATAGTAAAACCATGTCCGTAGACATTGAATAAGTAAACACGACTCCTCAGCTACATGTAAATTATTTACACTTAGGTTAAAATTGAATTTTGAGTTCAGTCGTAATTAAAAGTTTACAAGAAGTGGGTTGCATCATTAACTTGGTTTTGTTACAGATGTTAAGGGTTGTGTACGATTCTACAATAAATACACTGTAGATTTGACAGATATCATTGTACGTGCCTCAGCAATGTCGCTTGCTTACTCTATCATCTGTGCGTTTCGCGATAACCGCAATGCAATGTTAGTTTCGAATTTGCAACAAAACATACATATTTGGCAATATTCCTAATTAAAATCCCCAACGCAATATTTCGGTCATTTTCAGACTGATATGGTTACATATGCAATGAAAGAGATATAATTCCGCCAGGACAGCCGCGTTCACACCTACTCTTCGTCGAATTTCAACTGGCAAGGGTTCTGTTACATACACACAAATGTGCACACGGGTGTACTTCGGTTTTTTGTCGTACCGAATTCCCACAGACGCCACTCATGCGCATGCTACGTATCTGCACGTACCAGATCGTCGACTCAATAGGGACAATCCTATCGCAACGCTTCGCACAACAGTGGGAACCTAGCATAAGTGAAAGGCTGCAGTACTCGCCCCACGCTACGATCTTAATTCGGGTCATTCTTGCTAGGCCGCGACTTTAACCCCGATCGCATTACATCGTAAAACTAACACATAAATTTAAAAAATGATCATACTTCATCCTGTCTACACCACCACTGCCATAAAGGTCCATTTTGTGTCAAACTCAAGGTATGTCATTGACAAAGGTCGCTGTGCAGTATTTGACTGACCAATGTAATAGACAGGTAACTCTATTTATTTAAGATCAGACTGTCTATGTGCCGCCGTACACGCAAGGCACTCATGTCATGTGCATGGAATCGTTCACATTTATAGTTACACTTTTCTAATGGCTTAATCTCATTTGTATGCTTTTCATAAATAAAATAATATCCATTACGGAAGATTTCTGATTTTTGCGAATACACGTGATGCTTTTTCGGAATTCCTCTAATGGACGTGGGATTGTGCTTTTTATGGTTCATTGTTGCCCATAATTCATATCATGGCTGACATTCAAAAATACTTATGCTGGTGTTTCGAACAGTAATTGCAAGACCTTCTTGAAGATCATATTAGATATTTCCCCCCCCCCCACCCGGCAAACACGGAAATTTATAATTAAGATTAGATTACTAACGTGTTTCGTTTGTTACCCCGTTTGATAGACTTGAAAAAAATCTGACATGTTCAAGAATTCAATAGGATACGTGAATTTCGCATTGTTGTTTAAAAACCTCATAGTCGACTCGGGCTGATTTTAATGAACTTACATACACATTGAATACTGGTACACTGGTAACTACTGAAATGCAAGATGTCAATCCAATAGGGAGTTAATATAAATGGCCAATGACCAACGATCTTGAAAATAAATCATAGCTGAATATGTAAATAATTATAACAATATAAGTCTGTCTTGACATCGATATCATTTGTCTAGGTCACGAATTTTTAAAATAATTTTCTTTTTGTGACTACATTCACAACCCCAAGACATTTCAAAGAAATGGTCAAACATTGTCTTTGGAGACAAAGAAAAAGATAAAACATTTGCTTGTAACAAGTCGGCATACTTTGAGATCAAAAGTTAGGCATGGGTGTATATAAATGCCGTTTGCATTACCAGAATGTTTTGGTTAAATATTTTGGCTCAAATCATAACTGCGTAGATGCTGCATGCATTGAAGATCGTACTGTTTGAACTAATAGATCGATATCATTGCTTCTTTGTGGGGTGTCAATGTGACATAATTCCCGTAAGCTTGCTAAATTCTAATCCAGCACTAAATACCTTTTTAATATGTGCTTTGTCTACAAAAATATTATGGCACAGGCATTTGATCATTACTTGCTTTATTATTGTTTATTACAATTAAATTCAATGTGAACAATTAAAGACGGTGTGGTACTTTACCTAAGAAATTGAAAGTTCTATATAAGCCTTTAACGGGTTAATTTCAGGTAAATCCTCCTTTGTTATTACAGTAGAAACAAACGTGTTGGCCCCGTGTGCTTCCGCTGGTGCACGGCATATTATGTCAGTACATATAACTAATTCTGCTGATCCTTGCATTTTCTGCTAGTTACTTATTTATCGCGGTCCTGAATATAATATTAATAAACCTCGTCTGGTTTAACGGTATGGCCAGATTCTCAAAATCAAAAGAAATATATTACTATATCGATATGTGACAACATAATTATACACAATTATATCATTATTTAACAGTAGACATCAATATATAAAGAGAATAATTATATCATTATTTAACAGTGATCAACATATAACCAACATAATTATATTCTGCAACGGGAGACAGTAATATATGAACAGCATGATTAAATCATTCATTAACTGTAGACATCACTAAATAAACAGCATACATGTAGACATCAATATATAAATAACATAAATATATCATTCTGTAACATTAGACATCAATATATAAACAATATAATTATATCATTATTTAACATCAGACATCAATACATGAACAACATAATTATATCATTATTTAACATTAGACATCAATACATGGACAACATAATTATATCATTGCTTAAAAGTAGGCATCAGTATATAAACAACATAATTAAATGTAGACAGCAATATATTAACAACATAATTATATCATTCTTTCAGGTTATTTATATTACCGCTTTATTGTGGTGCCCTAATCGAACAATCCCTTTTATTAAACCGACGCCGCAATGATAAAGAAAGAATCCTTAAAGAACTGGCCTTTAATGATGATGCTTCTATGGACAGTAATTCAACAGATGCCATGAGAAAACAACGAGAACAAATTGTACCAAAGATTTATGTTTGTGCTACTATGTGGCATGAAACAGAAAACGAGATGATGCAGATTTTGAAATCGTTGTTTAGGTAAGTTGGGCACGAATTTAGTTTAACACAAACGCGTGTAGATTCCCAGAGATCACTAAGTTGTCAGAATTTATTAACATCCACAATTTGGATTAGTTTTGTTGCTGTTGTTGATGTTTTTTTTTTATTTTGTCGACGCGGGTGGGGGGGGGGTATTAATTTTACGACGCTATCGTTAAGTGCCATAGACAATAACGTACTACTGAAAGCTAACCCTTTCTTCATGGAGGGTTTTTATACTCCGGTGTGAGTAAGAATGTTGTTGTCGCATTACAGAAACCAAAGGGTCAATAGATTCAATGATCTGTGCTGGACAGTATCGTGCCATTTAGTACCGTAATGTTTTTTGTTGTATCTATATAGTCATCATTTAAATAAAAAGGATAACATGTGAATTTGCTATGCTTTGGGTTTGCTCTCTCCGTGTTGATGTTTAAAGATAAGGTGTCTTTGCACTAGCGAGAAAGAAGTTCGCAAAACGGATTACAGTTATAGCATGGTTTTGAGAGTTTAAAGGTGCAACTCGGCTTAAGATAGGAATAAGAAAAAAGTTAAACAGCTCACTAAACCTCTGAGATCAACACGATTAAACAATGGTGGGCTAAAGGAGACTAAACTATTTAGACAGGGGTTTAACTCTAAAGGGTCATTTCTTCTTAGAATATTTCTTCGATGCCATTGTTAAATATGAAATAAAGATAGTTTTATACTTTTTTTTATAATTTCAACAATTTGATTAGGATGCAAATTTGAATTTTTCCTTTGAACACTTAGTGTCACAATATTACTGAAAACAACGGCGCTATACTGACTGGCAGGTGGCCATGTTGGCAGCCATCTTAGATTGAGACATAAATCAACAGAGATATTAGGATTAGACTTAAGTTAGACTAGTCGAGTCTGCACAAACTGCTAACAATTTTAATTCGATATGTGTCTTCACTCGTTTGGTCGACAATATTGAGATAGCTGCCATGTTATAAAGTTTTGAATTCTACCTATGCCAAGATATTCTCCCGATCAATAAATCCGGGATCTCCTGAATTGTTATATTGCACTTTTTACACACCCATGTCATGTCGTTGCCATGGTATTTTCGTCAAGAAGCTCTTGTTTATTTAAAATTTGTTTAACATATCTTATTCCATATTTAGAGGAATTGCTCCAGATAATATTGAAGAACGGGGTATCATTTGCATGCTTAAAACAGACTTTACACGTCACACCCATTTCATTTCCTAAATTCTAAATAGTGTATTAAATAATAGTCGATGATAAATAAACAGACCTTGTGCCTCATTGTTCAAATTTGATTGTTTTTTTTTTAACTTTTTTTTTCTCTTTGTAGACTTGACATCGACCAGAGTGCCAGGAGAAATGCACAAGATTACTTTAGCGTCCAAGATCCCGATTTCTATGAATTTGAAGGTAAATAAGATCAAGTTATGTGTGCTTTGCGCAGGTTTTAACGGCGCGAAAAACAGACAGAAATCCCCAAACCCAAACGAGCATCCTCTTTATGTAAATAACCACAATATAAATACAATGCAATTAATAAAAATGTGTCTATTTATACTTTTTGGGACAATACAAATAATTTATTTACCTATTTGAATTAGAAAGATTAGAAATAAATACTGGTTTTGTCGTGAAACTTTTAAAGAATTCTATAATAGGACAATAATTTTGTACTTAAAAGCTAGAAAAAAAATAATTTGAGACGAGGAAATATTTCAGTAACTCGTAGCATATTGATTAAAGAGACATTCTTGTATGTAGTCTTATTGATTTTATCCAACAACCTTCGATAAAGGGCCTGTAAATATGTACATGCCAAATATTCTTTTAGCTCATACATTGCTTTCCTTACCCTCTGTTTGTTTACTTCCCATTTTAGTTCCTCCTCGTATTATGTATAGAACGCTAGGTTTAATATGTAGGACAAATAAACAATGACAACTGCCTATTTTCAGCTAATATATTTTTTGATGATGCCATGGAATTGAATAATAAAGGGGAGTGGATGGCAAATATCTTTGTGAATCAACTCGTCGATCTGGTGGATGATGCTGCAAGGTAAATATTTGATTTATTTAATTCATTGAATGTTTCTTAAATCTTTTTCAAAACTCGACAGAAATTGTAAATTTGAAAACAATATGGCATCTTCTAAAATGGTTTATGATCTGATTTTGACAATTTTTTCAACTTTATTTTGACTACCAGTTTATTTTTAAGATATATGTCTTGACTGACGTTTGACAATGAATTGATACAAATGCTAAATAGTCTGTCTATGTTCTGTCTAGCGAGTGTCTACATCGACTGAAATTGGCATTAAGACTGACCTCTCTATTATCTAGTCTCTTTCAAAAAGTAAGGGATGAACTTTATAAAGGTTGAAATAATCTCTTCCTTCAAAATTTCCTTTTGATAAAGGACTATTTAGCAACACCTTCAAAGCGAGGTTAATGGCGTCCTACTTGTATGTGCCGTAGATAAGAAACTCCAGAACAAAAGTGTTTGTTTTCCGGGCGGCGAGGTGTCCCAATTGTCGTTGTTAGCCAAATATGAACAAGTATACATTGTAAAACTATATGCTGTTAGTGGACTGTATAAAGCGAGTTTTTCCTTGGGTAAATTTTTTTGTTTTCCGACGGATTTTGAAAGTTGTAGTTATAGATTTGAGATGTATCTCACAGTACTGATCTTGATTCATATGAAGGGATACCAAATATAGATATCTCAATGCTCTAGCTCAATAAAGTATGGGTTAGGGTGTACAGTGGTTGGCAAAAACATTAAGAAACAAATGAAACTTAGACGAATGTCTAGGATAGAGTTGGTATAAAATCCAATTGAAACAACCCAGGCTAATTAATCTCTTAAGAATTCCAACCAGTAGTTCAGGTTTAACGTGCATTCGACACAGCCCTGGTCATTTCGGGAGTAAACATTTGGCATATTTTACTACTAAAAACCTCACGATGTATTAAGGAAAGAAATGAATATAATCGCTGTATCATCATTTTATTTATTTTCGGGGATGGACACTTTAATTTTATAATGAAGTCAGATTTCTGCGAATATTGTTTATGTGGGCTTCCCGAATGTGCGTATATAGCTGAACTAAGGTTGCGTTTTTAAACATTCAGACCGTAGCAATACATAATTGCAGTCATCCACATGTTTAACCAGACGTCATGCCAAAATGCTAAACATCTTAAACGGATGTTCGTTTATTCAGACAATTTCTGCAAATAAAATCAGCAACAGCAAATGAAAATATCAATAAAATTTGACCTGATCGCAGACAAATGCATGTTTATACCTGCTGAGGATTTTACTGGGTGAATCTGGTCCTGGAATTTGAATATATGTTTAGTTGAAGACGCGCATTAATGGGCGGTATTTGAAATTGTTTTGCAGTGGTTGACGACATAGGCTAACATAGACAATCTTGCCCAAACAACATATATCAATAACTCTTGATTATTCTTCCTTGTGTTTTTTAATTGCTTGATTAAATTGGGTTTTGTTAACCAAGTTAAGAATCCATGTTTAACCAGTGTCTTCAACAAACTTCTTCCAAAGACCAGATCGCAAACAAAACTTTATCCATTCTCACGTCATGTAAATAAGCCTACTTTTCATCACTGATTAGAAATTGGATACAAGTTGGGAATGTCGTTCCGTATTTAAAATTAATATTTACCAAAATAATCTCACACTTTCCGCCAATTTTTGTCTACAATAGTAACTTTATGACAACTGATTTATTTAACCAACAGGAGGTGTAAAGAACGTAAAGGAAATATAGGATTCCTTCAAAGATATCGTTTTTTTTCGTTTTAGTGCTATTCATGAAAGTGAAATCAAGTTAATGGCCCCGGTAAAGATTCCTACTCCATATGGCGGACGTCTGGTATGGACGTTACCTGGTGGTAATCTTTTGATAGCCCATCTTAAGGACAGGCTCAAGATACGTCACAAGAAACGATGGTCACAGGTAATGAATAGTTCCCTCGGGTTGGTTTGATATATAAATTTCGTAATGAATCACATGAAAAGTGGTAGACTTCTTCCACGCGATGGTCACATATAATATATAGTTCTCAAATAGGGTTCGTAGTGAGCAACATGAACGGTGGTAGGCTCCTTCTATGCAGCATTCGAATTTACCCGATTGTCAGACATGCACAAGACAAGCAAAGAGACAACCCCTAACCACCACATCTGACATTGTATGCAATTGGTGCAATCAGTCCTTAAACCTGTTCAAAATAAAAATTCTTTCTTTCAACGGAATTGTTAGCTTGCTGTTTACTCACTCGGCTTATATATCAGAAAAACTCAGCTAAACTAGGTGTTTCCCCCTTGGATATATCGATTACAAAGTGGCAAAATCTTTCGCATGCACAGACTGACATTTTAGATCCCAAAATACAAATACGTCTATCCTTCGTCTCTTAAGATTCATGCAGATCAAATATGGTTAAACAAAACTAAGTATTTAGCTAAAATAAAAAGCTCTTGATAATCTACAAAACACTTTAGCCACTTTGCAATATTATTTTGTATATAAAACTAACCCTTGTCGTATTGTTTGTCTAACAATTTAAACTAGGGCTTCAACCAAATATCAACAGAAAGCCACAGTATTAAAGCATTTAGCAAGCTTTCATTTTTTTCCCAGAGAAAAGGAAAACATAATTCGACCCTGACACAAGACCCGTATTTGTGTACTTGATCTAGAAATAACTTCTGGTGCCTGGATAAAGCTTGGCCATTTTGAAACTATCAACTGAAATTGCCAGGCTAAACATCCACGTTTGAATCATTTGATGTTCCATCTAGGTTAAGTGGGTCATCTCCTGCTACGAGGGGCATTTGGCCAAGACAGCGACACTACGGCCTACTCTTATTTCGAATTCCAACTGCCAAGAGTTGTTTTACGTGCACACCAATGTGTACACGAGACGACTACTTACTGTTCCTTGTCATGCCCCCCGCCCCCCGCAGCCCTAGAAACTTTCTCGGTCAACAGCGGGAGTGAACTTGGTTATTGAGACAGAACCCTGTTCATCCCAATGCGACAGGGTCCTGTCCTACCCACTGAGCAACCGCGACTCCCGTTTCTAATGGAAAGGGTGTCATCCTTATTTAAAATGGAAATAAAGGTATCGTTTGTAGGTGATTCATAAGAGTACAATTAATAAGACAATGAAGGTATCATATCCCTGTATCAACCACAAATATTTCAAACGGCGGTTGTTCGTGCTGGTCAACGGTCACCTCTTCAGTCTTTATTGTTGGTAGCTCGTAGCGATTGGACTGATTTGCACAGATAAAGCAATATATCTATCTTGCGCAATTATACAATATGTTAATTTTCGATAATCGATTAGTTAAATCTCAATATAATATATGTAATTTTACAGGTGATGTATATGTACTACCTACTTGGTTATCGATTACTCGGACAACAAGATGACGCCATGCAAAGTAACTCAACCTTAGACAGGGAAGAGAAATGGCGAAACTCGGCAACACACTTCGTAAAAGGAAACCTCTTCAAATACATTCCAGAAAAAGTTCTAGTTCAGGTATGTCTTATTGGGTTATGGGAAACAGAAAGAATCAGAACGATTGGTCGTATGAACCCTTCAGCGGAAACACATGAAAGTTTCTGGTTAGTTGTATATAAATGGTTGATACTGTTGCGCCTTGTCAATCCATGTTATTTCTTCCTCAATCTGGACAACAAAATCATTCTTCCTGGAGTGAAGTGACTCTGGCACTGTCGCTAGTTGGAACACCCATACCGTGTGATCAAAGCATCAAATGTCATGGGGAGGGGTTGGATGGCAGAATGGTTAGCACGTGCCCGCTGTATCATAAAGTCTGGCAGAGTTTAGATTCCTCGGTTGTACGTGACTTGGTTAACGCGTACGCGTTGTATCAAAAGGTCTGTCTAGGGGGTCAAGTGGCGTGGTTTCACGTGACAAGGAGTAAGGTCACCTCCCCAACATCGTGGGTTTTTCCCAGGTCCTACGGTTTCGTCCCACTGCTAAAGACGCCTACGCGCAAGCGAATTATTGAAATAAAATTGAACTATTAGTTAACCTCGAAATTACCTAGTTTGTGTCGATTAGACGTTAATCTCTCTCTTTCTCTCCCTCTCTCTCTTGCTCTCCCTCTCTCCAATTTTAATCCAAAACATTAGACATTAGATCATATGATTATCGTCCTTCCAGGCTGAAAACACGTTTGTTCTGGCACTTGATGGTGACGTTGACTTCAAACCACACGCTGTACAGCTGCTGGTAGACCGAATGAGAAAGAGTAAAAAAGTCGGAGCTGCTTGTGGACGAATTCACCCGATCGGATCAGGTAAATAAAGCAAATGCATTTTTCTCAGACAGTTTTTTAGGTTTATCTGACAATAATTATCAATACTGCTACATAAAGATATCCATGTCTCCAGTAAACCATTGTGCCAGTTCCAGTATGTACGTAGGGAAATAATATGCAGTAAGTGCGATCCTAAACGGTTATACAATTTCAGATGAATATAAAATGATAAATATGTGTAATATGCAATGGATTAAGACAGAAAATTTAAATCTTCTTCTCAGGACCTATGGTTTGGTATCAAGTGTTTGAATACGCAGTTGGTCATTGGCTACAGAAAGCAGCTGAACATATGTTGGGTTGTGTATTGTGTAGTCCTGGTTGTTTCTCCCTGTTCCGTGGATCAGCTTTAATGGATGATAATGTAATGAGAACCTATGCCACCAGATCATCGGAAGCACGTCACTACCTACAGTACGATCAAGGTAACATTCAGTTTTATATTTGGAAAATATACAAGCGATGTAGAAAAAACAAGTCATCGATGTATCAGCATGGGAACCAGATGAAGTAGTCTTGGGGCCCCATCGAAGGGAAACTGATGACGTACAACAAAGGGTTATTAACTGCTTAGGTTGTCATAATTTTAACGCTGTTCTTTTGTCACACAGTAATTGTTAAACTGGGAAATGAAGCAGGCTGAAAACATAAATATCTCTCTTATCGAAGCGAGACGGGAAATGCTCCTATACCAGTTTCTTTTCAAAGAAATCCCCTTTCATTCAATAAAGCGCGCGTATCTAGAGCATGGTTTTAAATATCTATATAATAATCCGCAATTTAGCAGCAAAACGACCATGAAAACACAAATTTACTCCGGTCTTGAGCAAGATTCTAGACCTGAATAGCAACGTTTACATTAGTTAAGTTATGTTGACAAGGGCTCAATCATTTATCATGTATTTTGATATGCTTTAATTTTATTTAATCCGGAATTTTTGTTTTAAATGTTGTTTTATATTTTTATTTCCAGGTGAAGATAGATGGTTATGTACATTACTTCTTCAACAAGGTTATCGTGTAGAATATTGTGCTGCTTCAGATGCCATGACCCACGCCCCAGAGAGATTCAAAGAGTTTTTCAATCAAAGACGTAGATGGATTCCTTCAACATTAGCTAACATCATGGACCTACTTCAGAGCTATCGAACCACTGTCAAGATAAACGACAACATCTCTTACTTGTACATGGGTTACCAAGGTCTTCTTATGTTATCCACCATCTTGGGTCCCGCCACGGTATTGCTTATGATGGCTGGTGCTTTCAATGCTGTTATCCGAACAAGTTTATGGCAGTCGTACCTGTTAGCTGTTGGTCCTTCTGTGCTTTATTTAATCGTATGTTTCGTCGGCAAATCAGAAACGCAGTTAAATTTTGCAGCAATCTTAAGTGCCATATATTCCCTGTTGATGATGGCTGTTGTCGTTGGTACTTTGGTTCAAATAGCGGAGGATACAATCGTCAGTCCTAACGCGGTATTCTTGTTGATGCTTTTAGCAATCTTCATCATATCGGCATGTTTTCATCCGCAGGAGTTCATATGTTTGCTGCCGGGAGCTCTATACTTTCTGTGTATTCCTTCCGGCTACGTACTGCTCATGTTATATGCTATGTGTAATCTCCATGTCGTATCATGGGGTACTAGAGAGACGGCCCATTTAGCACATTTAAAACCGATGTTACCACAAGAATCAATTCCGATTAGCCCAAAGAATCCCACTGGATGGATGTCATGGATAGCTCGACATGATGATGAAAATTCATGTTGTGGTTTCTGGAGAATGCTTCGGAGAGTTTGTGGACATCGACATCCCGATCTGAACACGGAAATTCTTCGCCAAGTAATGGAAAAGTTAGACAAAGTGGAAGCTGGAATGAGAACAGTTTCTGCTGGTTCCAGTTTCCAACAGCAACGACGACGCTCATCTTCTCGATCGCGCAGATCAAAACGCTCTAACATAAATGACATCGAAGAGGAAGATGCAGAACACGGAGATGCATCTGAAACATCAACATCTTCTGATGAAGAGGAGCATATGTTTGAGGAAGAACGAGATGAACTTATCAATCCCAGATGGGTGGAAGATGCTGGGCTCAGAGGTGGAGAAGTTCAGTACCTACCTGTTAGAGAAATAGAGTTCTGGCAAAGATGTATAGCAAAGTATTTGCACCCCATTGTAAAAGATAAAGCGCATGAAGCTAAAGTATCTGTTGATCTAAAATCTATGAGAAATAATGTTGCATTTGCTTTCTTCATGATGAATGCATTTTGGATGATTATTATTTTTATGTTGCAAAGTGTTAAAGATAAAGTTAGCATACCTATTCCACGACCTAATAACAAGGACTTGCCCATTGAACCCCTCGGACTTGTATTTTTGATTGTGTTCGCCTTCATTCTGTTGCTTCAGTTCGCTGCTATGTTGCGACATAGATACGGCACGCTCTTGCACATTTTGGCATCTACAGATCTTCGATGTTGTCGCAAACGATATGATCCAAAGAAGCATATTCGTAGAGCGGTGGAATACGCCCGGGAACTGCAACGACTCCATGGTTTTGATGAAGATCTCACGGACCAAGATTACGATTATCTTAGTTCCTGTGAAGGAAGGCCGACTATGCCTAATAATATCTATGCATCGAACGGTTACCAAAACCAAGGTCGCTCTTTTGACGATAGTGACATTCCCAATGCTTCGGCCACAGAGAATCCATATCCCATGATGTTTGGTAATGAAGCATTTACGGATGGTAATATGGAGGAAGGTAGTCCTGGTGAAGTTGTTAGAAAGAGACGAAATGGTAAACGAGCTAATAGAAGTCGTACAATGGTGGATAAAAATAACACATTACGTAGAGCATTTGTTAAACGATATACCAAATTATTAAGGCAACATACGGCAGATCCTGGCACAGTCTCTAATATAAATACGTTCCTTAATAGCAACGGCGGTGGTACACAGAACGGATCTCTAAGAGTAGTTAGTCCTAGAAATTCACCACCTAAAAGAGAAACCGCCGAGGACTTAGTTGCCCGGTTCAATAAATTAAACAGGTGATGATAAAGACAAGTTTATTCTAGAAATATTTACTAATGTGTGTTAAAAACTGAAATGCTCAAAGTAAATAATGTCTCTGAACAGTGACGAAACTGTGCAAAGTTTGTGAACAAAGAATCAATCGCATCATCCGTTGCTGATTAAACAGTGCCTTCTAATCTCCCGGTGTTAAAGAACGTGTGCCTTAAGCCTTAATATACACAAGCGAGTCGTAGGATACCAGAACCATTGACGTGCAAGATGGTTAGCAAATTATATTTTAAATAATTAAATAAGCGGATCGGGTTTAAAAGTGACTGTTTGAAATGTAATGAAAACTAAACATTCTAACATCGGTGGGGACGATATCCGTCAGTTTGTTCGCATGTTTTGCTTAAAAGCTCAATTTCACATCAAATGTGAAAACGCCTTAACTTTGCTTAAATTGTACCCAGTCTTGCCGGAAGGACGATAAATCACGGACAATACACATATATAAATAATAGGTGATTATATATATCGTTTATATCTGTTTTATTATGATTATTATTATTATTATTTATGTTTTATGCTAATAATGTTTATCTATTAATTTAGATAAATAGTGTGATAATAATTGTTTATATACTTATCTTGCCTTGTAAAATAATTTATGCATATATTATTATGACCTAGATCTTTCTTAGACGATGTTATATTTATAAATTAAAGAAAGATAAGTCATTATACATAAAACAGTTGTAAATTTTTAATAAATTTCAACATATTTTATATACACCTTTAGGCTGTGTTCGATTGGACTGAATAACTTTTAAGACTGTTTAAGCCATATGTATATGTATATTTTATAGTATAGTAGTAACCACTGAATATATTTGAAGCTGTTGTTTTGGGGCTGGCTCGGAACCAGAATATAGCGGCAATATTACAACGAGAAAATGGTAGATGGCAAAGTGTTATCCTTAAAAGTTTTGAACGAGAACGCCTATTTGTTCGAATATCCCTTGGTGTCACAGCAGTCAGTGTTTTAATAGATGTATTAATCCCCAAAGGTAGAGAAAGATTTTCTTGTATAAAAGCGTTAAATAGCAGATATTTGAGCTTGGCATAATTTATAATATTCAAGCTAGAGATCAATCCCTTCAGTTTATTTCGATTTTAGCGTTTCTTTTAGTTTTGGTATTCGATTAGTGAATTGTGACGTTGGTGATAAGGCGTGATATATTAAAGCTGATCCTATGTATATATATATAACGTGTCGAATACAGCCGAAAATTAATTCCTTCCCAGGATGTACATTTTGTTTCCTGGATAAATTCTTCTGTCCTTTTAATTTCATGATTTTGAATATCTGCTCTAGATGATGACTCGTTGTGAATATTAAACATGTTTAATTAATGTGCAAATTGCTGAACATATCTCAGCTAAGGTGACTTTCTGTATTTGATTTCAATAAAACTGTTTTGTAATCAATTCCGTTTTGTGTTGTTGTCGTTCTGATATTGTATCATTCAGAAACATATGACAATGGTTGGTGATCTTTAAGACTTCCAGAACCCCTAAGCAAGACGCCCACTGCATAAGGGGCCAAAAATGTCCTTCCCCTAAGTTTAAAGATCATACCACCCCATTGCCTTTGAACAAAACTGAATAAGAACCGCCTAAGTAACACATCCACTACATAAGGTGTCCAAAATGCCTTTGCACTATGTTACGGGGCGTTAATATTCATCAAGAGGGTTGGGATATGGACTCGGGTCTAAAACATATTTTGCTAGGAACTGTATCATACGCCACTAGCAACTTCGTCTATGTACTTTTCTTGTTTTGGTTGGCATACACAAACTGTTGGTGTCTTAAATCTCAACTCGGATGATTGACAATAAGTAATACATGATCCAGGAGCAATAACTCTATAAGTACTTTTGTCGATCGGTATTATATTAGTTACATGCGCATTTCAAGAATATTGAATTTTCTAGAGTATGGCTATGGTAATATCCGTTTATTAACAAGTATAATAGCCAGGGTCATTAACACTGGAAACTTTCCGTGAAAATGTTCATTATGCTCATGAAGTACTAACAATTTCTGAGATTCTACTTGAAGTCGGACAATAATTTAGCTTTATAGAGTACAAGTACCACCGAATTAGTCATTTGGATAAAATGACCAGACTCTTTACGGGAGTACCAGCCATATGACAAAAGCCACTCATATTATGACCCCTGGCGCGACCTTACACTGCAACTGGTCAGATCTTCATGTAGTGCAGGCCATCGTACTCCCTTTTCTATTGAAGGCGAATGTCCATATCATGGGGCCCCGGAATTTCATTTTTGCAAGTTCACGGGTTACGAAATCGAAAAGCTTTAAGCCATCACAAAATCGTAAAGCTACTGATGGTGAACGAACAAAGACTTTAATGTGCACGCTGAAGGAAGATGTGAGCAATGTAACGAATACTTACGTGATGGATGCATCGTTAGAATCATTAAACTAAAAATCACTTCTGATCACAAAATCATTCCACTGGTAGATTTCAAGGAATTAAAAGACTGGGAAGTTATTCGGTTGAGGCAACCAAAGAGAGAGAGAGCGCGAAATGGGGTTTAACGTCCACTCGACTCAAACTAGGTCATTTCGGGACTAACATATGGTTCAATTTGGACAGGCGACCCCACTCCTTGTTACGTACAACCGGGGAATCGAAACCACGCCAGTTGACTCAATCACAGAACTTTTGATACAGCGCGCACGGGCTAACTCACCCACCCACCCCACCCACCCCCACCCCACCCCCGAGCAACCAAAGAACGGACAGATCCAATCGGGGTGAGCCTTTGAATTTTTCTTGCAATAATTGCCTGACGACCATTTGTCGAGATTGTCTGTTGACAAATCACAGGAACTATATCACCACTGACATAGAGGATGCTGCTGAAGATATTCGGCAAGATTTAGTCAAGGTTGAGGGCGACATTAAACTACGAAAACTAAATGTTTAGCAGGATCTTGAAACGGTTAGTGGGTACAAAGCAAACATTGACGCAAAGTTTGGACAAATGTCGGGTTTGTTGCGGCACATCTACCACAAAATGACAACACGTCTAAGCCACTCCTATAGTGAGCTAAATCAAAGATTAGCTAAGACTCAGAATGCAGAATACACCATTCTTAGGGCGTGGTCGGGCAGACTTTAGAGCGATCTGACTTGGGGAAAGCCCCCAAATTTTGGGTTAGAATTTTGAAAATTATATTTTCCAAGTATAGATCTTTGTTTCTGTTAAGTTTCAGCCATGTACACTGTAACCCGGGTACCGTTTAACCTTGTGTATACAGCACTAAATCTTTGTTTAAAAATTCGTAAAAATCATTCAAAATCACCAAGACCATCTAATTTGTAATCATGTCCAGTTTAAAGCTTAATGATTAATTTTGATAATGAGCGTCCAATTTACAAGTGTTTAATTTCCTGACCACTGTTCAAAAATTAACCAGATTACATCAATAATTAATTGTGTTGTTTATATTTTAACAGTGATCGAGAAATTAAACGCTTGTAAATTGGACATTCATTATCAAAATTGAATGGTCAGCTTTAACCTGGTCACAAGTAAAAATTAAATGATTTTTTGATATTTCAAACATTTTTTTATATGAATTTTTAAACAAAGATTTGATATTAAACAAATGTGAAAGAAATTAGTGCTAGATACACGAGATTAAATGGTACTTGGGTTACAGTGGTAACTGATGGCCATATTATTAGCCCCGTGAGGAGATATTGGGCGTGGTCTGACTTTGGGAAAGCAACGGAAATTTTTCTTTACTCCACCAAAAATAACTACTGAACGTTTAACACCAAAACATTTGATGATTTTTCAGACCAGCTGAAGCTATCATTCCAATATCATCGCTACCATAATAGATAACATTTACTCTACAGTGAAGCACAGTCTCAGATTATCGAAAATAATATGTGAACTTCGAAATTTAATTCTACCATATATTGTTATATCCATATTGCTCCTAAGATCAGATGTTCATACAAATCCCGGGCCACCAAACCTCTGGATAGAAACCTAGTATCACTCTTTCACTTACATGCACGTAGCATAAGACACAAACTTAACACAATATATGTTGATGTCAATAAATACAATATATGTTGTTTCACGGAGACTCATCTGGATAACAATGTGATAGATTTATCTTTACTGTGGAACGGATACCATCCTCCATATCAAAAAGATCGAACATCATACGGTGGCGGTTTGTTATTATATACTTTTCAAAAAAAGTAGGGGATATTCAGAAACAATACAAAACTCCGGAAATGCACTGCTGTTTTTATTAGAGGTAACCAGTGTATGTTAATAACAGGCCAATTGCTTACACGTGAACATAAACAGTTCATATGGGCGGCTTATCTGACGGCCCCATTTCACTCGCAAAGAGATACGCTGTCAAAAGTGAAAATGGACGTTTTTGATTTTTGTCTTAATAACGAGTAATTGCTCCACCAATCCTCAGACATTCAGCAATTCGCCGTGGAATGCTCCTAATCAACCGTCCAATCACGATTTGGGGCAATCTGACCTACTCCTCTTGCAGTGCCACGGCCAATTCTTGCAGTGTTGTCGGTTGACGTTGACGTCGACGAACACGTCTCCCGATCATGTCCCAGACATGCTCTATATTGGAAAAGTCAGGATTCATGGCTGACCAAGGCATATGGACAATATGGTGACACTGGAGGTAGTCATTCACGACACCAGCATTACCACCTTGAAAGATGAATCGTCGACCTGCACGTTGAGCAAAGGGCAGAGCTATCGGAGCCAGGGTGTGGTCACGGTAGTACACATCAGTGACCCTTCCTTGAACAATATGTAAGTCCGTTCTGCTAGTCATGGTGATTCCTCCCCACACCATAACAGACCCACGCCAGAATCTGTCATGCTGTCTGACATTAACGTTAGCATGATCCGAAGCTCATTTACACGCCTCCAAACGCGAGCACGCCTATCGGTGAAATCCAGAGTAGATCTGGACTCATCTGAGAACATTACACGCGCCCATCGACGATTACCCCAATTTCTACGCTGCCTACAACATTTACCCTTGTTTGCCATGTGCTGGCGAGTTAATGGAGGCACACCACGCGGTTGTCGCGCATGCAAATGGGCTGCATGTAGCCGATTTCTAATCGTTTGTAGTGTACCTCTAATTCCTGTAACTTGGTACAAGTTTACAGAAAGCTGATTGGCCGTTTGTCATCGATTTCGCAGAACCTGTGTGAGAATATATCGATCCTGGGCTTGTGTAGTGGCTCTAGGACGACCTGAAGGAGGTCTATCATCAGCATTGTGTGTTTGTTGGTACCGGTTCCACAGTCTGCTCATCACAGACTCTGACACATTAAGCATGTTGGCTACTGCTCGCTGTGTAGAACCCATTTGAAGCATGCCAATAGCACGTAGACCTTCATCACGTTGAAGACGTCTCATTGCAAATTAAACGTAACACACTAAAGCAAAGATACGCTAAACAGCAAATCTTATGCAAGAGCCGATAGGAAAGCAAGCATGGATAGGATAAACCAGCACGCGGCAGTCAAATTTGACAATGAACCCCTCCCACGTGTAATGGCGCTATTGCGTGTCGTACGTACAGCTCAGTGGTTCTGTTGGGGCGATAAGTTTTTCATCTGTGAGCATACTCTCAAAACATGTCAAGTGTCCATGACTATTTATCATATCACAACCTGCAAATGTATTTGCATTTCAATATCCCCTACTTTTTGTGAAGAGTATATATTAATTCAAACATCTATTATAAAAGGCGCAATGATCTTGAGGTCACTGACATTTAGAGCGTTTGGGTCGAATGTAAATTTCCAAATACCTTATTACTTGTTGCTGTATTTTTACAGACCGCGAACCCGGCCAAAAGAATTTTGGTCATTTTTTGAAAGGTCCATTGAACTTGCATATCAAACTACACTTAATGTCGTAATTCTTGGAGATTAATCTTATGAATATAATTAATGAACCGAGACGCATTACTTTAACATCGTCTACCTTATTTAGATATTATCCTAGTTAATGATGAACTCCAGATTAGTGCCAGTGAAACAACTGACAGGGGCGGATCTAGGAATTTTGAAAAGGGGGGCGCCGCAAAATGAGGGCACTGACCGGGAGACGGGGCACGCCGCTGCGAGGGGATTTCTTTTTTTTTTGCGGGGGGGGGGGAGGGGGGTTCCCCCAAGAAAATTATCCGTCATTCCCTTGCATCTGTAGCCATTCCAAGGTCTATTTGGCTGATATTTTCGTCTAAGTAAACGTTCGGAAATCGTTGAAAAAGAGCCTTAAAATCGAGCAAAAAAGCCAGTTGAACATGCGGCTCGAAAATTGTCAAGGGCGAGCGAGGCATTATGATGGGAAAAAAGACGATCTATTCCCCAG